CAGTTGTCATCTTTTCCAAAGTATGTTTTTTGTGTAGGAAGTAATCATTTTTTTAGTTTTTTTGGCATGATATCCTTTGGTAAGTACTTCCTGTTCTTCCTTAGGGTACCTAATAAATGGGTATCTCTCTGTGAAAGTGAAATTGCCAATGACACTGATGTATAAAAGTTATCCATTATTATAAGCCTTCCTTCAGATAAATATGGCTCTGCAAGTTCCATAACTACTCTTTCAGCAAGTCCAGCAGACTGTGGTCCAGTAACTGTTTGTCCAGAATACAGTGACATGCTCAATGTATGACCAATTGGATTGCACAACTTGAACATTTTCACTTCATACTTGTGGCTTTTGTTGGGAATGTACTGTCTGAATAATAATCGGCCACGAAAAAGAATCATTGTTTCATCAACAGCTATTTCTCCAGGCACGTATTCGACATTGAATCGTTCCTTCATCATGTCAATTAGATTTTTAACTTTGTATAACCTATCACATCTGTCAGCCGTCGAATTATCAGCAAAATGAACGAACCTCAGCAATAGTTGAAATCTATTTCTGCTCATTACTTTTGGAATGATACAATCTTTGTATAAAATGCTGGTCGGTCAATAATCAGCTATTTTAGGATACCTTACAAATCTCATATAAAGAAGGACAGCAAAAAACTTCCACATTTCATCTTCATTGGTATCCCCATTATATTGATTCTGGCCGAGTGACTTGGTCGATTGTTTTGAATAGTAGTTGCAGCATTTTTATTTGTTTCGCGAACAATAACACTCAAAACTTCTGCGTCAAAAAACTTCCGGTATATCTGCATGGCAGTAACACTTTCTTGATTTTGTGTATCAATTTTGTATGATTCTGAGCCTAAAAACTGTATATGAAGTGGTAATTTGTCCACACGTATCTCTTGCCATTCTTCTGTTTCCTCTTACACAGCTTCCTCTTGAACTGACGTTTCAGGATCCACTTCATCCCCAGATTCCATGGCAGCCAACGTGTTAAGGAGCATATCTAGGGAGTTCAATTACCCAAAATCGATAATACCCTAGTAATACAGAAATGGTAGGTGAGCGATTATTGTCGAAATGTTCCTCGAGTTGGAAGATCTACAAGCATGGGAGGTAGAGACTGGCAACAGCTCTCTAAAATAATTCGACAGCCCAACACTTTCAATAGGAATCTGGGAGTGTTGTTACGATAAATACCATCCGTAGGGAAGCACATCTATCCCAATCCAACGCCGATACCTATTACATAATTTTAGATAACAATATGCTTCCTACGTTATGGTAGTTATTATGGCAGTTACAGTAACGCAGATCTGAACCCCAGCGAGATCTATAGCATTGAATATACTGACCATCATGCAAAGACTTGTGAAAAGCATGCTAAGGAGAGTTTAAGCTGTACTTGCCACACGTGGAGACTTTACCAAGTATTGAATATAAATAAAGCTTGATCTTTTCTATTACATTTGTCCAAACACTTATTAAACAGTTATTATTTCTTCCGATTTCTTCCGACGTCTATGACACGTCGGAAGAATGTTTATTTTTTTAATTATCGAAACATTGTTATTATTTTCACTTACCAGGAAAATGGAAAAATCCATTGCTAAATCGGTCTTTGTCAACTTCTCTCGGTGAGCTCTTAGCATTGCACAGTTCACTCCAATCGATGGTCAGTTATTGTTAACCATGGAAACGTCATCACTCTCCTTAATGTGCTTAAGCTTCTTTCAACGGAACAACTCGTAGGCGTAAAAGGCATAAAAATAATGATTGCCTACCTAAGGCTGCGTTCGAAGTGTCAAGAAGTGTTGATTTGTTATAATTGGCTTCCCATGACAAGATTATAATCATGTGTTACTTTCTTCACATTCACACAGTTTAGTATAAAACAAAATTGTTTGGTAGATTTATGTTTGGTCATCAAATTTAATGGATTTGCGGATATTAATCATTTCAGATAAAGGAAGCTCAAAGCGTATGCTGAATGTGCACCGAGGGAAATTATTCTTGACTCTCAAGAAAAATTTATTCTTGAATGTATTTCTTAGAAACAAGTATAAGATACTCTTAAAACAAAAATATTATCGAATGTAGTATATAATATTGTTAGCATCGAAAAATATCAATTTTTTTTTTATCAAAAATTTCATTCTTGCGTCAATAATTTATAATACTCAAATGAAGAATTATCAAGATTGTTGTTACATGAATACGTTTTTCTAAAATGAAAGATACGTTATTCTTGACTTAATAAATCTATTCTCGATAAGAAAATGAGATTGTTGACGCAACACTAAGATACTCTTTTTTAAGATTATTGATTTACTTTCATTAAGAATTCGTTTTCTTGAGAATCAAGAATATTTGTATACTTGCTTTGAGAATATGTGGTTTTTCTTCACTCAACAAAATGATCTTGTGGATATACAAGAATATGATAAGCTTGAGCCAAGAGTAATAATTTTCGTTCAAGAATATATTTCTCTCTGTGCGTTATTATCTTTGAACCGGCTCTTTATTGATGATATGTAAACAATATTACGATATCGTTCTTCCGGAGAGTTCATATCTTATTGATATCTTGTTTTGTGCCAACGAGTAATACGGCTATTTCACTAATTTCTCAAGAAAATTTATGCTAACATCTTGAAGAGTATTTTAATATTTAACCATACTTTGCTACTATGACCCTGGCAACAATAAAATTTGATTGCCAAGCTATCATATATAATTGAAAGTGCTTTCGTTTTTCATAGCTGCGTTACACTCTTGATTCGTTACAAGATTTTCAAGGACCTTATATATTTTGATACAATTTTCTTTAAAAAATCGAATAGCTTTATATTACTACTTTCTCAAAAAAGAGAGCAATTTTGAAGTTTCCACACTGAGCATAAGTAATTAATAACTAAATTCGGTGAAATACATTATGGAAGGCCATAATGTAACCATCAAACTAGTGGTGGAACGGATATCCGGCAACTATCCGGCTACCGGATACCGGATAGTTATCAAATATTGGCCGGATATTAAAAACCTATTACTTAGTACTCCACCATTCACAGGAATTAGTATCTCCTTTAGGCGTTGGACACTGCAGATAATAATCAAGTTCAACCCCAATAGGACTTTTTTCATTGAATACAACTTTATTTATATCAGGTTTGTCATTAGCCACCTCATTGTAACAATCCCAATACGATATATAAAATCTCTTGTTGCAGTTTCGTCTAGTTTTCTTCTCTTCGCTTGTAATTTATCATCACATTCATTACTAACAGAACTGTCGCCGATATCACTTTCGATTATTAATTAAAGTATCCTCTTTTTAATGCAAAAAGCCGTTTTGAAAAATCACTTTTAGTTCTTGAGAAATAAATTTTTGAAATGATCGACAATTTTTTCGAATTTTGCAATTTTCGCCGATTAAATTTTAATAATTCGTATAAAATCGATGTCTTGGAATATGAGTATGCAAATTTCCCAAAGTGTTAATAATAGTGTCCTCTTTCCAATGAACCAACATGATTTGAAAGATAACTTTTAGTTTTTGAGAAAATAATATTTGAAGTTTTGATAAAATTTTCGATATTGGAATTTTCATCGACAACTTGCAAAATTCGCTATAAAATTCATTTCTTGAAGGATCCTTGTGGAAATATCACCAATTATTAATTAAAGTATCGTGTTTTTAGAGTTGCTTCGTTAGTTAAATCAGTATCAAAAAAGTTTATTTTGTATCTTGGATCCAAATAAGTTGACATATCTTATCAGCTTTCTTTTTAATTATTGTGATGTATTATAACTACATCAAATCCAAGACTCAAGAGTTTTGACCTCGGATCCATTTTCTGAAGTTTTTCCTCTCCTCAGCAAGATCCTTGAGCTGCTGCATCCCTCGGTTGGTCACAATCTGCGTCACTCTCTCTTCCCATGTTGTTCTTGGTCTCCCTATGAATCGCTTACCCTGCACTCTGGAATCCATGTTCATCCGTGGTTTCCTCACCTCTTCCATTCCACCCCTTTCCCAATCACTGTCTTGATATTCCACGTACTTATTCGTAATCCACATTCTTCTTGCGAGGTTATTGTCTTGACTCTGAATCATTAGATACACTGTGCCATCCTCGCCATTCTTATTCCCATTCCTCCTATCCCAAATAGCTACATGTACTTTATTAAAACTGTTTATAATTGAATAAAACGAAATATACATTCATAATTAAAATGTATCCATTTCTTTTTTTATTTGATGAATCACATTTTAAATTAATTTTTATTGCTCTATAACAAAATCTCATTCAATACGTCACAGCTTTTTAAAACTCCTTTTTAAATCTTGCCTTATTTACAATAGTGGCGTTTTATAATTTATCCATAATAACTCTTTGTTAAAAGGAGTTAATTTTTCGAACGAAAGCCCTCAACAAACCACAATTAAAGATAACGCGGGATATAAAACAAGTCCGAAATCTCGATGTTATTAAAGTGCGGTTGCTCTTCAAGTTCAACTAACAAATAATTAGAAAAACTTGAAGATGCCTTATATTCCCTTAATTGAAGATACTTTATACGAGAGTATTCTAGTTGATCCAATTGAAGCAATCATCCTCAAACGTAGGTAAACTTTCTTTTAAATTAATGTTGTATTTTCATGTTAAAACAAAAAATACTTTGGGTGATAAAACAAACCGATAAATCGTTTTTAGGTTACCCCACAAAAAATCGTTTGTGTTTTAGTAATACCTTATCGGTTTTAGGTAATAAATTGCAATGTGTAAAATGTTTTAATCGCATAACTTGTTAACATTTTTTTAAAGTTCGGCATCTCATAATCGGTCGATTATGCTGTATTAAATTTGTTCCCGGCCAATGGCAATTGGGCTTTAATCATTTCCAATCATGTAGAGAGCAAATGCCTTTAACTGACTCATGTGAGTGTGTGCTTCATTCTTTCCCTCGAACGTAAGAACCGCGTTGTTTTTTCCAACGCAGATCTAAATTTTATTGTTATTTTTTTCTTCAAACGGAAAAAATTACTTTTGGTCAAACGATGACATGACCCTTCTTCTTTAACGAGACGTTTCGTGCCGTGCCTAATTTGTGACGACCTAAATATAATGTCCGTGTAGACATTGGCATTGTTCGTATTTTTTTTAATTTAGTTGTTATCCGGTGGTCACACCAATAATTTCTATTTCTACGAAAATGTACGGTAAGTTACTAAATTTTGTGCTAGACAAGTCTTGATTTTGATTAAAATGATTTAGAGGGGAGATTATTACCTTTAATTGTTTCTTTACTTTTACAAAATGTGTAAACATCGCTACGTGAGACAAAAAGATTTTAAAAAATGTTTCTGTAGATAAGAAAAGGTGAATTTTTTATTAGGCTTCTGATTCATCTAACAATTTAATTCATGAAAGATAAAATTAATTTTAATTATATAAATAAGTAATAAAAATAAATACAAGGAATTATTTTTACTTTCTCATATAAAGTTACACAAAAAATTTTTGTGATATTCAAAAATAGGTAATTTTATAACATTCTAGATAAAAAAAATCAAATGGCACGCACCACAATTAACTAAAAAACGAGTAAATTGAATGGCTATTGTTGGTTCGTTTTTGGATCTATAGTAGGTGTGTCCCCATTTTACCTTCAAAATACAACAACAATACTTAAATCGTAAAATGTTAAACGAAAATATCGTACGCGCTAGTATTTTAAATAAATTAAATAATTTAATTAAAATTCTTTTTACTTTTAGTACGGATATTTTTTATAACTTTTTTTTTACAAAGATTAGCCGAAAGCATTTCAGTTCTGGATATGTTCATGTCAGCACATTCTCCGAGCGGTGTGTGTAGTTAATTGAATTAGATCTCAACGCTCATAGCCGCTGACCTCTGAATGCGAGTTGAACTTGCACTTACTCTGAGTCCACCGTGAGATTCATTTCGAGGCATTTAAAGCTGATTAAGGAAGTTGAGGTTTAAAAATATTAATCATTTAAACCGACTTTTTTTTATATTTATGTTTACATTTTTCTTTAAAAAATTTATTCTTAAAAGAAAAATAATTTTAGGTCCAAATTGTACACCACCGGCTATCGAAGACTTTCCCAAGGATATTTTCACGGACAAACAAAGGCAAGATGGTGGTATAGTTGTCCATATATTCGTATCATTATACCTATTTGTAGCGCTAGCCGTTGTATGTGACAAGTTTTTCGTTCCTGCAGTCGAAAAAATATGTCACGGTAACAAAAATTTATCAGAAATACATAAATCAATCATTAACTCAACGATTTTTCTATTTTTTTTTTTGTAGCTTTAAATATGTCCAGCGATGTCGCGGGTGCTACTTTTATGGCAGCAGCAACTTCTGCACCAGAACTTTTTGTCAATGTAATAGGAACCTTCATTACCGAAGGTGACATTGGTGTTGGCACAATCGTAGGTTCGGCAGTTTTTAATATTTTAGCCGTTGCAGCGTGTTGTGGAATCGGTGCTGGAATGGTAAGAAAACAAAAATCAACAACTTGTATAGTCTTGTAATAGTTGATGTTTATATCACATTACTTAATTGACGTAAATTAGTGTATAAATCAATTCAAAATTAATATAATAATAGATTTAAGCTATACTAATGCAGATATTTTTTAACGTAACTCAGGAATGACGTCAAATTAACCAGAAAATATAGATATACAGTGTGTCCCGATTTGAATGCTCACCATTGGTTGGTATATCGGCTATTATAACAAACGGCTAAACCAGAATGTTTCTAGTTCTAGGTCTTATGTTTGTTCTAGTGATAGTTCTAGTTTTAGTGCAATAAAAATATGCAACATAGTGACATCCTATGCTAACTAGCGCTACCTATTACTGTCATTAGAACAAACATTAGACCTAGAACTAGAAACATTCGGATTTAGGTCTAGTGTTAGTTCTAGCTTTACACTAGCACTATCACTAAAACTAACACAAGACCTAGAACTAGAATCATTCGGGTTTAGCCGTCTTAAGAGACGTGCGGCTAAACCCAAATGATTCTAGTTCTAGGTCTAGTGTTAGTTTCAGTTTTGCACTAGAACTAACACAAGACCTAGAACTAGAATTATTCGGATTTAGCCGTCTAGTTGTAGGTCTAATACTACTTCTAGTGACAGTGCTATATAGCGCTACTTAGCACTAGATATCACTAAGTTGCATATTTTTGTTGAATTAAAACTAGAACTAACACTAGACTTAAAACGAGAAAGTTTCGGCTTTAGCCGTGCGTCTTCAGACTGTTTCTAGGTCTAGTGTTAGTTCTAGTTTTGCACTAGCACTATCACTAAAACTAACACAAGACCTAGAACTAGAATCATTTGGGTTTAGCCGTCTTAAGAGACGTGCGGCTAAACCCAAATGTTTCTACTTCTAGGTCTAATGTTAGTTCTAGTAATAGTGCAAGTATATAATTCTAGTGATTCTAATGATTCTTGTTCTTGGTCTAGCACTGGATAATAATTAAAACTAGAAGTCTGCAGACGCACGGCTAAACCCGATATTTTCTAGTTCTAGGTCTAGTGTTAGTTCTAGTTTTACAATAGTACTATCACTACAACTAACACAAAACCTAGAACTAACAAATATCGGGTTTAGCCATATTGAGAGACGTGCGGCCAAATCCGAATAAATATTTTTGTATATTGCATCTTAAGTGAAATTCACTGTATATTAATATATTTTTAAATATAGTGTAAATATATTGTGTGTCCAGATTTCGATGCTCACCATTGGTATATCGGCTATTATAAGAGATAGAGCAACGGTTAAATGGGAAATGTTTCGCAGAATTCAATGCTCGCAACAAGTCATATTTCAAATTCATTCTTACTTTTTCATTTTTGAGATATTTTGAAAAAACTGTAATTTGCTGATTTTAATTTTTACTAATAAGTCGATAACGCGCAATGCAACTGCTTTACATTGTTAAAACACTTTTTTAAGACTAGCTTTTTGGTCTGAACAGAAACTATTGATATTTATTTGTTTCCAAGTTATTAACGCTGTCTTTTGTTTTTCTTATTGTGACCATATTGGATTTTTAATCAGTTAAATAGTCCATAAAAAGAGCTTTTCAATAAAGTATAACATGCTCAATAAATTTATACCGGATATATGAACAAAAATTTTATTTTACGCTAACACGAAATTAAACACAAATTCACAATAATTCACAATAATAAATAATAATAAATTCACAATAATTTCGTTTGTTAGTAGTCTTAAGTATCTGCCACCATTTAAAGTATAATCAAAATGAGATAGGATTATTATCTAAAATGAAAAAAAAACAAATACTCAAAAACACAACAAAGATGTCCATAAAGGTATGTACCAAGCAAACCACACCAAACATTAAATCCAAATCGAGTTTGAAATCTCCTTTGATTTACCAAATGTGGATTTTCAGTAGACCCAGTAATAATAATTGTGCTTATTGCACACTCCACAATTTGTAAACCGTGTTTCATCTGTCCAAAGTACTTTCCTAGGAAAATCATCATCGTTTTCATATTTTTATAGATACCATCTGCTAAATTCTAATCTTCGGATATGGTCATTATGGCTTAAACCTTGCGCTATTGTTGGCTTGTACGGGTGGTATCTCTTTTTCTTCAACGTATTATGAACAGTGGATTTCGGAGTTCCAGTTCCTTAAGACATTTGACGAACTGAGGCACTTGGATTGTTGGATTGTAGTTCCCTCGTTTCTGTTCGAAGCTTCCCAAGCTCACCAGATTTCTAATAATTCTCTTGAAACTTATCCTATGTGGTTGTGATCTCTGGTTCTATTTGATTTGAGAGTTTCTATTTGCTTTGAAATACACTTTCAACATATCAATCTTTTCTTCATTTGAAAATTTATATGCCATTATCAGTACTTACTCATTTCAATACTTAACGGTTATTAGGTACTTATCAATATCGCACTAGTAGAGAAAGTTATTACACTCTGACAAATTCAACTTTTACCTGTTTACCGATAGATACAGAACATTATTGAAAAGCTCTTTTTAAGGACTATTTAACAGATCAAAAATCCAATATGGCCACCATACGAAAAACAGACGAGAGGCAGCGCTAATAACTTGGAAACAAATGAATATCAATAGTTTCTGTTCAGACCAAAAAGCTAGTCTTAAAAAAGTGTTTTAACAATGTAAAAGGTTAAAAGTGGTTGCATTACGCGTTATCGACTTATTAGTAAAAATTAAAATCAGCAAATTTCAGTTTTTTCAAAATATCTCAAAAATGAAAAAAGTGAGGATGAATTTGAAATATGATTTGTTGCGAGCATTGAATTCTGCGAAACATTCCCTATTTAACAGTTGGTCTATCTCTTATAATAGCCGATATACCAATGATGAACATCGAAATCTGGACACACTCTATATATTTACAAATATATAATAGATGCAATATACAAAAATATTTATTCGGATTTAGTCGCACGTCTCTCAATATGGCTAAACCCGAATGATTCTAGTTCTAGGTCTTTTGTTAGTTGTAGAGATAGTACTATTGTAAAACTAGAACTAACACTAGACCTAGACTAGAAAGTATCGGGTTTAGCCGTGCGTCTTCAGACTTCTAGTTTTAATTATTATGCAGTGCTAGACCAAGAACTAGAATCATTAGAATCACTAGAATCATACACTATAGTAGAAACATTTGGGTTTAGCCGCACGTCTCTTAAGAGTGTAACATTAGAAATAACACTAGACCTAAATCTAGAATCATTCGGGTTTAGCCGTCTTTACAGACGTGCGGCTAAACCCGAATGTTTCTAGTTCTACGTCTAGTGTTAGTTCTAGTTTTGCATTACGACTGTTAATAGAAATAACACTAGACCTAAATCTAGAATCATTCGGGTTTAGCCGTCTTTACAGACGTGCGGCTAAACCCGAATGTTTCTAGTTCTACGTCTAGTGTTAGTTCTAGTTTTGCATTACGACTGTTAATAGAAATAACACTAGACCTAAATTCGAATGTTTCTAGTTCTAGGTCTAATGTTTGTTCTAATGACAGTAATAGGTAGCGCTAGTTAGCATAAGATATCACTACGTTGCATATTTTTATTGCACTAAAATTAGAACTAACACTAGACCTAGAACTAGAATGTTTCGGGTTTACCCGTGTGTCTTTAGAGTAGGCTAAACCCGAATGATTCTAGTTCTAGGTCTAGTGTTTGTTCTGGTGACAGTGCTAGGTAGCACTAGTTAGAACTAGATACTAGATATCATTATGTTACATATTTTTATTGAACTGAAACTAGAACTAACACTAGACCTAGAACTAGAATCATTCGGATTTAGCCGTCTTAAGAGACGTGCGGCTAAGCCCGAACGATTTTAGTTCTAGGTCTAGTTTTAGTTCTAGTCAAAGAAAAAATCAAAGAAAACAATTTTAGAGTTGTCTGGTTTTGGTAATTTCTTCCTAAATTCGTTGTTTCTGCCACAATATGTCATGTTGGAGCATCTTGTTAAATCCAAAAATTCTCATCTAACTCATGGTATGAAAGATAGATTATTATGTTATGAACAAAGATCCGCCTTCATTATACGTGGATTTTCAATTCCTTAAAAAGTTCTGTTTTTTAACAAATTTGACTTTGTTGTGCGAAATGAGGTTGAAAGTACATCACATCTTTATAGATAGTTTTCAAAGTTATGCAATAAATAATTTTTTAGCCAGTTTGGAAATCTTTGTGGTCATGATTAACGTTGATTTGTGACATTGATGATACGAGAAATTCCTGATTTTTACGATATTTCTTGGATGTTCACATATACATCATGAGCAACTGATTCGAATACTATAATTTCATTATTTTCAACAACCACTAGGTGCATAATTTCTGATCGTATTCTACAGAAAATTAGAAACAGTTAAATGAAATTAGTATAATTTTAAGCCTTTTTTGCTCATTTTTAAGAACCCACAAAAATTTAACACAGCCTTTGCCTTTACAATGAAGTGAAAGGAATGAAGGTAATGATGGGGTTGAGTACTCATCTGTACTTAATGTTCTCACCAAGGCTAACTTCAATTCAATGTTCTATGGCAAGATGTTGTTGAATATGTCCAAAATCAGGAACTTCAATTTACAATAAACATAAGGATTCATCAAAATGAATTCTTGAAAAATGAACAGTTGGTTGGACTTTATAGAAAATCAAGTTGAAAAACTTTTTTAATTGATGTGACGGAAATTCTGTTAAAAGCAGATTTCTTAATGGATTATAGCCATGTTTTTAATAAGCGTTAGGAAATATACCACACTATAAACGGAAATAGTCATTCAAGTTGAAAAACCAGTGGCGAAACCACGAGCTTTTTAATGAATGAGTGCTTTAAGTGTTATGACACGTGTTTTTTTATGTTATTTTTTGTAATTCGCGTTTTTATCCTTTTTTTTAACAAGCATAAACAAAATTTTGACAATGTAGGGAAATAGGTATGTAGCAGTTGGCAACACCGTAACACTTGAAAATAGAAATTTGAATTGTCAATTAGAAATGGTCAAAACATAAAATGTCTGAAAAAAATGTTTCATGTACACCTCCTAAAATAAGAGAAATTGCTCAAAGTTCAATGTCCTCATAATTGTGGACCTTGTATTCCATGCAAAGAACGTGTTAAACATCCATAGACAAAAATTGTCACATTGACAACTGGAAAAATTAATGACCCAATATCACCAACTGGAACTGGTTCCATAAAATGTTACTAAAATCTCATTACAGCACCCGTTTGAGTACTGTAATAGCTTTCATTACCGTCGCGAATTACAAAAAAAAATGTATACATACAGTTGTTCCATAACAACGTCGTACAAAATAAATAAAATAAACAAGATCTGTCTCAATATCTCAAAAACTGCAACTGGTAGGTATAGTGACATGTATTGCAGATTTGTGTAGAATTAAATTCATTCCCTAGGACAGTATGTAGAATTTAACAACTACGGATTGGTTGCCCGCACTCTACGTCACACTATTCGCCACGCCCAGTTAACTGTCATTGAGTTCTATGCGTTTGCTGTGTTTTTAGAGATTATATGATAGACATTAATACGTCTATTAATATGAATACGTCTACGTTATACGATATAACCTCTCAAAATACACAGCAAACGCATAGAACACAATAACAGCTGACTGGGCGTGGCAAATGGTGTGACGTAGTGCGCGGGCACGTTGTTACAACAATGGATGTAGCAGTCCTTTTAGATTCTACTGTCCTTAGGTTGTTCCATTTAAAACTCTACTTTTTTGTAATTGAAATTCAACTTTTCTCTAAAGAAGAACTGTATATCGGTTCCTTTATGCCGCTTACGTGGGACACCTGTATATACTCACAAATCTATAAAATTTGTATACAGAGTGATTCTCAAACTATACGCATAAACTTGGAGTTTTATTCCTCATTGCAAATAATGACTAATAGATGAAAAAAATTCAAGTAAAAGTTATTTAGTTTCCTAGATATCCGATATAATCGGCGGCATCTAGGTAATGTGTTTGGAAGATTGTCCTGGAAGATGGATAGTTCGAGATGATCCAATGGCCTTGCCACCGTGATCACCCGGCCACAATCCTCTTAATTTATACTTTTCGGGTCACTTAAAAAGCATAGTGTACGCCACGGAAGTTAATACTAAGCAAATATTGCAAAATCAGGTACATGCTGCTGCCCAGACAATCCGCCAATACCCTGGTTTAGGCTTGCGTTAGTAGGAGATCGTGGATTCGGGGAGCCCAACTGATAGAAAATATGGGAAATAACTAACAGGACTGCTACATTCATTGTTGTGACAACCTGCCCGCAAACTACGTCACACCATTTTCCACGCCCAGCTGTTGTTATGGTCTATGCGTTTGCTGTGTTTTTACAAGTTATATCCTAGACGTATTCCTATTATTTTTTAAGTTTTATGTTTTTAGATGTATTAATGTCTATCATATAACCTCTAAAAACACAGATAGTTACCAGGCGTGGCAAATAGTGTGACGTGGAGTGCGGGCAACCAACCCGTAGTGGACTACAAAAATACAATGGATGTAGCAGTCCTGTGGAAATAACTACGAATACTTGCTGTGATGTTATTTTAAAATGTTCTATGTATTCTTGATATGAAAGTAAATATCACGGATATCTATGAAACAGAAAATATTTTACTACACATTTTTTCGCCTATTAGTCATTATTCGTCATGAGGAGTAAATTCCCAAGTTTATGCGTATAGGTTGAGAATCACCCTGTATGTTTAACATCTGGTTTGACCTGTCAATATGACATTTATGTTAAAGAGTCTGTATATTAGCCATAGCTTCGCATACTGATGAAGATTAAGGCAACGAGGAAGATTTGGTATATAAAATTAAGGCAAATGGAATGCTTAAATGAATCCAATTGGAATAAAAAATTTTTAACTTATGCAAACCAAAAGAAGTTAATGTGATTTCGGAGAATTAGCTTTTAGAGTCACATTTCTCTATTAATAATAAGGGATGAATATATTTACATAATTGAAAATATTTTAAAACACTTATCATTTAAAATATAATTGTCTCAATTTATTCAATAACATGTGATTTAGACAACAACTAAAAGATGTTGTATTCAAATTATTTAAGTTTTATAATATCATAATTTTTTTAGTGTGGTGTAAAAGTAGTGCCATTAGATTGGTGGCCATTAACAAGAGATTGTTTAGCATACGGAATAACAGTTTCGATATTAATTTGCATAATTCACGATGAAAGAGTTGAATGGTACGAAGCTTTAATATTAGTTCTACTTTACACCGTTTACATCCTAATAATGTACTTTGACAAGTCGCTCCAAAAGTGGGTGAAAGGTAAAAAAACGTTAATACCCGAAACGTAACATTCTCGTTGACTGTCTTCATTTCAGAATGTCTGAAACATTTGCGAAAAACTACTAAAAACGAACAACAGCAACGCCAAGGTGGCAAACAGAAGATCGAAATTGTAGGTGAGAAATCGATGGCGTGGAGGATTTGGTGACGGCGTTAACTCTAACGTGCGATCTTTTTTGTCCCAGAGGCATCAGAAGCCGTCTGCAACAACTCGAGCGGAAATGGAGCTAACGCCATCTCATCGTCAGGACACATTAACGGATCAATCAAGGGTCCTCCGATGGAAGCAGTCGAAATAGAACAGGACGAGGTTAAAATTGAAAATTGTGCCGCCGTCGTCGACCAACAAGATTCTGGTGGTAATAAAGAGGAGGAATATAAATCAAGTTTGTGGAGATGGCCCAGTAAAAGAAGTTTATTCACTCAGGTAATAAGTTTTCAACATTTTAATTAGTACTACCTCCGTTCCAAAATAAGTGTCCGATTTGAGATTTTTTATAGGATTATTCAACAAACAAAAAAAAGTTGTAATTATGAATTTATTTATATCGAACAGGTATTCATTGATCGTAGTGGCTCGGGTATGTTTATGACAGTAGAAATTTAAACCAGTGTCAATTGCTAAAAAATTTGCACTTTGTATGTTACAAGAACCTAGCCTATATTTTCAAGAAATGTTAGAGTTTGTTCATATTGATGAAAAATGGTTTTACATAACCAAAACTAAGACAAACGCTACCTTCTTCCCGAAGAAGAAACACCTCATCGAACATGTAAGAGTAAAAGATTCTTAACAAAACTCATATTTCAAGCTGCAATGGCTCGTCCAAGATATGATTACAACAAAAAGTCTGAATATAATGGTACAATAGGCTTATGGCCTATTGTAACTCAAGAAGCAGCAAAACGAAATTCTAAAAATCATATACGTGGGACATTAGTGACAACACCTGTTGAAGTTACTCGTCAAATTTATGTGGATATGATTACCAAAAAAGTTATTCCAGCTATAAAAGAAAAGTGGCCGAAGGGTAGCAAAAAGATGCCCATCAAAATTCAACAAGATAATGCCCGACCACATTGTAGTATAGATGATGGTGAAGTAATTCTGGCCAGAACAGCTGATGGATGGAATATTAGTTTGATTTGTCAGCCACTAAACAGCCCTGACTTTAATGTTCTTGATTTAGGCTTTTTTAATGCAATTCAGTCTATACAACATAAAAGCTTGATGCATAATATAGATGAATTAATTGCTGCTGCATATAAATTAGACAATGTTTTTATGACACTGTAGAAATGTATGGAGTCCTCCATGCTTCATAAAGGAGGTAACAATTACAAAATCCCTCACACAGAGAAAGAAAAAATACGGTCTACTGGACAATTACAAAGAAATGTAATTTGTTCAAAAGAAGCTGTTGAAACTGCACAGATGGCATTAAATAGTTTATAATTTTTATTTAATAAATTTCTGTTAATAAATTAAAATATAGTAGTACTTATATTTCACTTTTATTAAAAGTTGACACTTATTTTGGAACAAATAAAATATACAAATCGGACACTTATTTTCGAACGGAGGTAGTAACATTTTTGATTAGAAACAATTTAGATAATGAAATAGGAATTTATATGTTAGGCAACTTGGATATTTACCTGGCCAATCCATTTGGTTTTCTTCTTCACCATCCCAGATTGTGAAAAGCCGAGATTTAAAAAATGGTTTCCGCTTACTTTTATGATGTGCATCATTTGGATTGGTTCGTTATCTTACGTTGTAGCTTGGATGATAACAATTATTGGTGATACGCTTAAAATTCCCGATTCCGTTATGGGAATTACATTTTTAGCTGCTGGAACGAGTGTTCCTGAAGCTGTTTCAAGTGTTATTGTTGCAAAACAAGGTAGGAGGAGAAAAAAAATTTTGTTTAGGTTTTTATTTTAAAAAAATGTTTTAAGGGCATGGTTCAATGGGAATTAGTAACAGTATAGGATCAAATACATTTGATATTTTATTATGTTTGGGTTTACCGTGGTTTATAAAAGCGACGTTTATGCCAACAATAGAAGGAAAATATTGGGTAGGTTAATTAAGAAATTAAATTTAAGTCATGGAAATAAAGATGATTTTTTCCAAAAATATAATTTAATAATTTTTGTTATTAGGTTGGAATTAACTCAGCAGGAATAGAATACAGTGCGATTTCTCTTTTATCATCTTTATTACTTCTCTACGTAGTTTTCGCTTTGAACAAGTTTAAATTGGATAAAAAGGTGGGAAGAATATGTCTGCTGATGTACGTGGTTTTCCTAATTTTAGCCAGTCTGATAGAGTTGAATGCCTTCTTCAGGGTTAATCTGCCAACGTGCCAACGATAAGCCTCTTAATAGAAGTCTTATGGTAGGCCAAGAAATGAAAAAAAAAACTCTCAAAAGATTTAAAAAAATAAACTAACCTAAAATCGTCATCGTCGCAGATCTCCACACACCATACCGTTTCAGAACCTAATTATTATAATTTTATTTGTATTATTAATTATTATTATTTTTTTTTAATTAAGATCAAGGGTAAACAACCCCTTTTTTATTTTATATAATACAATTTTAAGTAATGATTATCGACCACGAATTTACTAAAAGTTTTCGTATAACATTTATAATTTTAGATATAGACCTTATTTTTTTTTTAATTAGATTTTAGCCTAACATGGTTTACATAGATGTGTGTATCGCTGAAAAGAAAAACTTTGTACATAGTAGATCTATATAATTATTTAATTAAAATTAATCATTGAACGAGTTACAGTAAATTTTATTTTTTATATGATTCCTCATTTCTGTTTGGTGTATCTTTTTGTTTAAAGATGGCGTTTGATGAGTCTTACTGATATATTTCAGTTTTACTGGTATGAAAGGTCATTGCATCGCTTCGAAAAGCATACTTACCTGGCGTAGGGGCTACCGTGATCAATAAGGCGGTTCCCCCAGGACGAGGCCCCTCCATTGCACATCGGTCGGGCTGACCCCTGCGATTACCCCTAATGCGGGTAACTCGGGCGCGTAATTTTTGGTAGTCGGGTCTGCGTACGCGCTAACCCGGATAATATTAATCAAAACACAAGCAATTGTTTAGTACTATTTAGGTCCACTACTAGAATCTTTTAGTTAAATTTATCTTATACAGGTGTTTCGGTGACTCGGGGAACAAATTTAACCACATATACCTAGAGTGAAAATGACGACGTTCATGTAAAAAAAAATTAGTAAAATTTCTTCAAATTTCAAAGATACAGGCCATCAAAGTTAGAAAATTTTAACACATTTTTCCAAATATCTTAAACACTATTTACAGTAGACGCTGAAATTTGGTACAGTATAATTCAATGTAATGTAAAATCGTTAGGCAATTTATGATTTGGATCGGTCAGCGAGAACAATGCTATACAGATTGTTCCTAAAGTTTGTTTGCTCAGAACTTTTTTATTCTATCATAAGCCTACATTTATTTTTGCAGTTTCTAATAGTAAATTTAGTTTAGAAACTTTTATTACTCTTAGATAATATTGATAAAAATCACCGTTTTCGTGTTAAATGTAAAAATGTTGGCTTCCGATTTCAATAATAACACTAAAAAAAAAGAAATCTAACTTTTTGAACATTTCCTTTAGTATTTTTTATTACTTGTCTTGTTATTTTGTGTACTTTTTTTATTATTCCTGTTAGTGTTGTCGTTTTTTTGTTTATTTTTTGTTGATTTTTAATTGATTGTTTTTGGATTCTTTTATTAAACCAACTAAAACAAATTAAAAATGTGATTTAGGTAAATCTACACTTGGACATGTTGCATACATAATAGTTATGACAGCTCAGTTCGATTTTCACTTATCATTGCCAATTCAGATTATTATTATTTTTTTTTTTAGTGTTATTGAATTCGGAGCCTAACATTTTTGCATTTAATACGAAAACGGTGGTTTCTATCAATATTCTCTAAGAGTGATAAATGTTTCTAAACTAAAATTGCCCTTAGAAACTGCAAAAATTAATGTAGTGTTATGATAGAATAAAATAGTTCTGAGCAAACAAACTTTAGGAACAGCCTGTATAGCATTGTTCCCGCGTACCGATCCAGCTCAAAAATTGCCTAATGATTTTACGTGATATTAGTTTACACTGTACCAAATTTCAACGCTTTACCATAAATAGTGTTTAAGATATTTAGAAAAATGTGTTAAAATTTCTTGACTTTTACTAATTTTTTTTTACATGAATCGTCATCATTTTCACTCTAGTACATGTGGTTACATTTGTTCCCCGAGTCACCGAAACACCTGTAGATAAACCCATCTACTAGCCAATCAGTGCGCGTGAAATAACCGTATCCATAGTAATAATCCCATAGATAGCTTAACCAGAAGATGGTAGTAACGAGCCTTACTATCTTTGTTTCTATCCATCTTTTTGATGGGTCGGTTTATTTCCATTTTTCGACTTTACCTGTTTATACAGTTGCTCACAAAATTGAGTATACATGCGAATGGCCAATATACAGGTGGTTCAGATTTTAATCGAGAACTTTACTAAGGGCCGGTTGTACCAACTCCCGATAAATTTATCTGATAGATAAATTGGCGCACTTAGCCACTGAGAGCGCTTAAAACCGCTGTATCCATGGTAATTATCCGTTAGATAGTTTATCGGGAGGTGGTACAACCGGCCCTAAGACGTAGTACCTGCCCAAGGACTAGATTCTACTGTCATTGGTACTTGCCAAAATAACACAAGTTTTAATATATATATATATATATATGTTACAGTCAAAGTAATGAATCCAGATATTATATATAATATATACTATCCAGCCATTATTTATAATGTCTACTCATTTTAGACAAAGTGATAAAGACACAGAATTAATCACATTAACTGGCAATTTTATATAATATCTTCGAAGAATTGGATAAAGTGATAAAACAAGTCGGTATATATGTTATACTATTCTTTAAATAGTAATACAAAGTAAATTTAAAGCTCACTAGCCATAAAACAAAATAATAAAAAAGAACAGAGAATAATACAAATATTTGGTATCACTCTATAAAGACTAAAACATAAAATATTTAAATTCAACTGACATGAATTATGTAACTACAATAATAATATTTAAAAACAACTGAGTCATAATTATTATTTATTCTTACAAGTAAGGCTCTTGTGACATTTTGAGTTACACATGAGGCTTGACTTTTTACATTTACACCTATTAGAAACGCATTCTCCAGTACAGTTACAGTGCTGAAATCCTTGGCCGCCAAGATGTGACTCTTTTTTTGCACATTCTCTGATGTTAACTTCGTGTTGGGGAACGATATCAATTGTAATAAACGTTTCTTTGCAGACAGTGAACTGATTTCTTGCGTAAAGTTGATTTAGAATCCCATGCTTAGTTCCTAATTTATACATTCCTTCTGTCTCCTGAGAAATTATAACAGCCATAATGTTTCTATCATCGGCTTTGGCGCGATCTACATCAGGAATTTTTACCACTACATTATCACCCGTACTAGCAGCAGGATATTTTACCGAAGATAGAGCTAACATTTTATCTGCTTGCTTCTTCAGTGATTGTCCAACTAATTTTCTGATGTCTCTAATATCTTGTTTCTTTTTATCCAGAGCAATTACTAATTCTTCATCACTTTGCGTTATATTTGAGAGACCTGTAGTATTTTCTTGGTTGTCGGTCTCCTTATTAGGTTTTCCTGTTAGCTTATCTACAATTTCATTTTGCAAATCAGCGTTTGAAATTATAGTATCGCTTTCGATTTCTTCCTCTTCATTAATCACAGGGTCGGTAATATTGGGCTCGGCTTCCCTCTCCTCGTGCAACTGGTTTTCGTCTTCATTTAATATAGATTCTAGCTCTTCCTCTGTTGATAGTTCAACTAGCACCTCTTTAGGAAGACTATTTAATCCGACTTTAGCTTTACAGCCAAACATTGCTTCGTAAGGGCTACGATTAACATGTCAGTTGGATTGTATTTATTACTTTGGCTAACTTTGAACAGCTGTTATGAATAATGTCCGGATAAAGTGATTAATTTATCGCATTGTCTAGACAATTTCGTTATTATATATAATGACCAGTCATTATGTATAATAGCAATTTAATCACAATGACTGCAACATATACATGTAGTCGCAACTCTGTTGTTTTCGAGCTATGAGTCGTCAAAGTTGAGCCAAAAATTTACATTTTATTTTGGTTATAAGTAAACCAGAAACAAGGAAGGATAGAGATGGCCAACTCTACTTTATTAAATTGTAGCTAAAGTCCCTAGATTTACAAAGTACCGCGGTTTGACGCCATTTTGGCTCGAAAGTCAAGCGGGAAATTTAAAACTACAAACCAAAACATTACGTCAAATTTCCTTTCTTTTTCTCGTGGTACTCTGAAGAGTCGACAGTTCTTCTTACTACCATTTTTGCAACTCCAAAGGCAACAAGACGGCAATATTTTTGTAAACAAGTGGTGAGATGCAGTGACAAGCTGTCAAACCGCCATTTTGGCTCGAAAAAAGACGTCATGAACCGCGGTACTTTGTAAATCTAGGGACTTTAATTGTACCTTGCGTACAGCGCCATCCGATGTCATCGCAGAGTACTAATCATAGATTAAAACCAACTTCGACTAGGATAATGGTGTAAAACTGGGCTAACCAACGATCTGGCAACATTGTTCGCTACGCATCGAAGCGAGCGACGTTGCCAGATCGTTGGGGCTAACTTTAACCACCAAATTTAAAAATAACACAATTAATATTGCTTTGAAAAAAGGAAATAAATATATTTTAAATGAAAGATGTAATTTCAACATAATAATTTATTATTCACAAAACTAATAAATTTTGGTAACATAAATAGAATATAGGTACAAAGGCTTTCACGGCCGGTGTAATTAAACTATAACTAATAGTAGCGCTATCGAAGACGACTCGAAATCACTTCGAAAGTTTCCAGCTAGTGTTAGTTCTAGTGATAGTTCTAGTTTTAGTTCAATAAATAGAATAATGTTACATTTTGTTTACCCTAACAATTTTTGTAGCGTCTTCCTGGATGGTAATGAAAAGAAATTTGATAAGATCCTTTACCACTTTGTTTGTAAATGGAAAGAGCCAGCACTTCTTTTTTCTGATTTCGGGACTGGCTGCTAAAGAAATTTCTAGTTTCTTTATTCAAATATTTGAGGTTCACCAATACCTGAGGATTTTTCCTCAATTGTATTAACATTTTTGCCTTATTATTCTGGCATTTTTCTTAGCGCGACACAACACTTTTTTTACTCCAGTTAGGTTGCAATTGCTGCAGTTCTTTGTAAAAAGTAATTTCCTCCGTTTCTTATCTACAAAAATTGAATATAATTTTAAATAAGAATGATTATTCAGTTTTTATGATATTTATCAATTATTTCTTTTTCATCACTTAGGTAAAGCCGTTTCCTATTCATTTCTAATCAAATGACAGAATTTTGCTCACTAAATGAGATTGAAGCAACTTCGTAACCTTGTTGTTTACTACATCCAGGATAGACTTGCCTACATTACATTGCATTAACTATATATCGGGTAGGCGGACTAACCAACCTTGTACCTCGACCCTAAGGATCTATTGTACCCGATAGATATCGTTATCAAATTTCACCGTGCAGTCCAATGCTCTTAACGAACATTAATACCTTGCTCGGCGAAAGGTCATTCAGATCCCTTGAGCAGATAAACTACGACCCAAAAATCGAGAATCTGATACGGTTAACGGCAGAGCAGTGGCATAAAACATGCTCAACCGTCTCTGCTTCCTCCGCACATAGTCGGCATTCAACATCGTCGGCTAAACCCAACAAGTTGAGGCTTTGTGCTTTTAATCGGCAGTGCCCAGTAAAAACACCCATTAGAACTTTTATGCTACTACGGGCAAGTCCTAAAATATTCCCGGGTTTGACAGTGGCGATGTTAATAAACACCTTAGCATGTCTCATTCCAGGAGAATTGGTCCACAGTAGGCGAAGTCTTTCTTCAACCCACAGTCCAATCCTATATTTGGCCATCGCAAATGATACACCAAATGCTGGTTCCGACCCCACAAACGCTTCAGCGCTGCCATCTCGTGCTAGCTTATCTGCCGCTTCATTGCCAGCAACCCCAGAGTGACCCGGGACCCAGATCAGAGGGACTCTGTTATCACAATTCAGTGTGTTTAATGTTCTCTTACAATCATTAACCAGAGCCGACACCGTTTTCACGGCTTGCAGCGCCTGGAGAGCGGCTTGACTGTCTGAGAAAATTCGTACTATCATGTTCTTCACCCCTCTTTCAAGAAGGATTTTAGCACCCATGTCAATAGCAAATACTTCCGCCTGGAATACAGTACAGTACGTACCCAGGCTGTAAGCTTGCTTAATTCGAGGTGTCTGGCAGTATACTCCTGCTCCTACCCCTTCAGGCGTTTTTGATCCATCTGTGTACAAGCAAATGTCTGCCTGAACCAGAGAATTTTCATTTTCCATCCAGGACTACCGCTCAGGCAGTACAATCTGGTATCGAGCATTAATCACTGATAGTGATACCGCCAAATCCACCTACCATAGACTTGCATAACAGGTGAACTAGTTGTTACACCAGGAAGTTTGTTGGGGCATAAATATGTCGCGCTATAAATATACAGGGTGTCTCGTTAAGGGTACGGAGAGGCTGTATTTCGACAACGGTAAGGCGTATAGGTTTGGGAAAAAAATCCTTATAAGCAAAGTGGGCAAGAGAAATAGCTGGAAATTATTTTGAAGTTCGTAATTCGACCGCTAGGAGCGTAACTGCCATAGAGAAACATAGCATTCCCGCTACCCCAGAAAGTGAGACGATGAGCTACAACTTTGAACACATCATTTAGTAGCTTGGATAATACCGCATCGCTTTTGTTTTGCGATATTTCTCATATCTGTCATAATAAGGGAGAAGGAGGCCAATGCGTTTCCAAATGTTTACATTTTAATATCTCCTAGACCAGAGGTGGGCAAATAGTCGATCGCAAAGAGATCGGCAGGAGATCACAAAAGTTTTTCAAATACTATTTAGTGAATATAAACCCAATTTTAATAATCTCAGTGATAAAATGGAATGCCATGCGTCCACATCCAAAAAATGAATTATATATATTGATATGANTCCTTATAAGCAAAGTGGGCAAGAGAAATAGCTGGAAATTATTTTGAAGTTCGTAATTCGACCGCTAGGGGGCGTAACTGCCATAGAGAAACATAGAATTCCCGCTACCCCAGAAAGTTAGACGATGAGCTATAACTTTGACAACATCATTTAGTAGCTTGGATAATACCGCATTGCTTTTGTTTTGCGATATTTCCCATATCTGTCATAATAAGGGAGAAGGAGGCCAATGCGTTCCAAATGTTTACAAATGTCTAGGAAATGTTGTAATATCTCCTAGACCATGCAACCTATTTGGATATTTTTGGTGTTGTTCGAAAGAGCATTTTATGTTCTTTTATAGGATATTTTGAGTAAGACCGTTTGGTTTAAAACAAATTAGCTAGAGGGCGTTATCTGCAGCAATTACATATTTTTGTGATTTTTGAATTATAGAAGAAAATGTTAAAAATTCGTACATCTTAATCGGATCAAGTTACCTTAGTAAACAAATAAGAAAGCACAAAAATGTTATTACCTAGAACCTTCCCTCATACTTTATCCAAGCCTTACCATTGTGGAGATACAGCTGTTCCGTACCCTTAACGAGACACCCTGTATACATGATCTATCGACAAAAAGAATTTATTTAAAAGCTATTGAGTGTTGGCTAGCAAAATAGCGTTTCGCCCCACTGTGCAGCGGTTGAAACGCCACAAACATCAATTACACAAGTTGCTGAAATAAACCAAGCACATCTACAGTAAGAAGGATTTTGAAACAAATTTGTAGCATACAAGCCAAAGTTTGTCAATATCTTGTACTTATAAGACATGTACTATTCTCTGATGAGTCCACATTCTCGTCGAACTGAATAGTAATTTCACAAAACTGTCGTTGTTGGGCTGATGACAATTGACTTTTGTCATAAGAGCAAGAAACCAATATCATTTTAAAACAAATGTTTGGTGTGGGATTTTTAACAAAAGAATTATTGACCCTTTTTTTCGAGATACTCTCAACTCCCAAAGATATATAATTTTAATATTTCAACTGTATTATTTACACATTCTTGTTTATTATTTTGTTTGTATTAATTTATTTTTGTTGATTACATGTTTCAAAGTTCACAGTAAAAAGATCTTTGTTTTCGTACTTAATTTTGTTTTAATTTTTTGTTTAAAAAAAGAAAAATTAATGCTAATTAAAAATAATTGTTCATTTGACAATAAGGCGACACCTACTTTGTATTTATTGCTACACATCTACAATTTTCAGTAAAATGCACAACTAAGAACACAAAGAATACAATCAATATCTGACACATTTCGTATGATTTTGATAAATTAATAACTGTAATAGATAGGTGTACGGTCTCCTGTTAATAAGGTGTAGAGAATTACATTCTGTATTTGACAGCCTAATAACATATGCGCGTTCCATTTAAAATTTAGGTTTTTTTTTTGCAATTAAATAACGTAAATTGGTAACTCAACTTTTGACCATCCCCTATAAGACACACTGGTACAGCTAATTACGTTTTATTTGTGATTGCTTTTATAATGGTAGAAAGAGGCACAAATAAGAACAACAACTGCTAAAAAATACTTAACATCAAAATAACTTAAAAACGAAAAACTCTAGGTACCATTATCTTTTATCAAAGTCAACTTTTTTGTTCGTGTTGCTGACTTTTTGGCGGACACTGATTATAACTTATCTGTATAGAAATAACAAGGATATTAACAATAATAAAATTTATGGTAACTAATAAATGAAACAAGTTATGTAGCACTAATAAATAGTACTTAAATATCCAAAAATAAAAAATAGACACTAAACCTCTTTCAAAAACCAAAACAAGAGAATAATTTAAACACGCAGTAAACATAAACGATACGTTATTCCGGCAAAATGGCGGACCACTATGCCCAACAATCTAACGAGAGAAGCGACGCGAACAATGTTGCCAGATCGTTGACTATGCCACAGAACTGCGATACTTCCCGACACCGTTATCTGGTCGATAACGATAAGTTAGTTTGTACTGTAAGGTAGGGATATTTTTGTCGGTGAGATTATCGTAACATAATTTATCGGGTACTCGCGGTGCCGATAAGACATTTATCTGCCAGATATATATAGTTATCAAGGTTTTTATATAAAAACCTTATTACTGTAGTGTCGTGAAAAGTTGTTTTTATTTTAAAAAAACATGGATAGAAAAAGAAGTAAACGTTCTACAAATTATACAAAGGAGGAGTGTTGGCGATTAATACAATTAGTCGAAAAACTAGCCAATGTTATTGAAAATAAAAAAACAGACGGAGTAACTTGGAGAGAGAAGGTGAGCTTTATTAACCAATACACAGTGTGTTAATTAATTATCGCACCCGACATCATCATCGAAAGTATGCAACCAATATCACAGATTGGTATTGCAACACGACAAATGTTCCTAAAAATTTTTAAATATAAAAATGTCTAACTTACTGTCGTTTTATTTAAAATGATTGTTAGTGTACCCATAAATTAAAATTAATGTTGAAAGTAGTGGTTATTTTAATTTGTTCATTGACTAACCGCTTAAAGCAACGATACTTCTAAAAAGAACTGTTTCGAAAAATATAAAGGCACCAAAAAACGGTTAAAGAACAAAGGAAATACGGAAACTCAACATCTGGTATTGAGATATGCAGCCAATATTACACAGGTCACGTGGGTTACGATAATTAATTAAGACAGTATACTATTAATACTAAGTAACTTACTTGGTAATTAATTAACACATATCTTGTATTTAGAAAAGGGCATGGCAAAAAATTTGTCAGACTTTTAATTCGACTGGTAAAACAAACCGTACATCGCAACAACTGCGTAGCAAGTATGAAACGTTAAAAAAAGAAGTCCGTCAAGCTGTTGCTAAACATCGAGCTGATGTGTCGAGTACTGGTGGAGGTCCATGTAAAGTAAAGTTGAGCCCATTGCATGAAAGAGTTCAAAGTTTGATACAACCAAGCGGCGATGGAACACCATCACAATTTGACAGTGAATTTGATTGTTTAGGTTAATTATTTTACCAATTTAATAATATATGTGCTTAACTCTTTGTTATGTTTATGAGAAATGCATTCTTTTACTTCAGATATCAAAGTTGAACCACAGAACTTGATAACTTTCGTAGATGACGAATTAAAGGGTGATGAAGCTCCTTTAAGTCCTAACATACCTGTTGCAATAGGTATTTTTATTTGAGACATTACTTTGAGCTTACATAACGTTATAATCATTTCCTTTAGATGCAGAACATATTGAAGTTACGAATACATCAATTTATGAAAGCAACAATACGGAAGGTAATTTTTAAATTTTTTTGCATATTGCTTGTTTATAAATAATAATTGGTCCTAGTTACAGATGCAGATGACATTGTTGAAGAAGATAATAATAGGAGTCATTACTCTCCTGTCCAATTAAGAAAAGCCAAATATCTGGCTTTGCAGACCAGAAAAAGGAACAGAGCTAGTAAAAATATAAATCTTTCTGCAGCTGGGCGGGAAATGCAACCTTGGTTAGACGCTAAAGCTGATCTAACAAATTTAAAAATCAAATTGCTACAAGAAGAATTCGATGCCAAACAACAAAGGGAAAAAGAGCTGCATGAACAACAATGTCAAATTAACAAACAACTAATAGAAATAAATAACCTAACTATTAAAAAAACTTTACTAGAAATAGAAAAGATTTTAGATGGTTAAAGTAAATTATTTCAATAATTAAGAATCATTCGTTTAAAATTATTTAAGTTTATCATTAATTTGTTCTGCTTATTGAAATAAACAATTTTTATTAATTTTATTTTTTGTGAAACATCTATGCAACACTAACAGCTCATTGATAACACTCTTGAAAAATATTCAAGAAGCTCAGAACGTGCTCCTTAGTTATTATTGTCTGCCTGTGTTATTGCCACCATTAGCATATCCATCTGAAATGTTTCCTCCTTGAATACCTTCCAAAATACTTTCACGCATTTGTGGATCTAATGGCGGCTTATCTTCGCTATTTAATATAGCGAAGTTATATAACATGGCACAAGTAACAATTATCGCTTGTACCCTTCCCAAATTTAATTCCTAACGACAATGGCTTTGTAATATCGAAGCGTTGAAAATGGTTTGATCGTGGCCAGGCCATCAAACCACTATATCTCGTTTACACAAACTTGCATTGTAAATTGTTTGGTCATTAAAGGAATAATATCCTTTTCTGTTTCGAAAATTTTTCTCGTGATCACCACCTAAAAATACATAGTACTTACTAACATTGAAAACAAATAACAATAATTGATACCTGATGACTCTATTTCCTGCGGATCTTGCGGAAAGTAAATAAACTCGTTTCTTAGATTGGCTATTCACAATTCTACTTGCAGTTGATTTGTGTATTTCACAAAAATTTCTGACTGCAATTTACAGTAGCAAAATAGTGAAATGTCAGTAACAACTGATTCATAGACTACATTTCTATAATACACAAAAATTATAGCACTTATAAACTTTGTATTAAATTCAGTCATAGATTTTACCAAGTTTTACTTACCTATCTGTAGGAGTTTCAAACCTATTCACAATACGTCCTAATAGGTACATAACACTATTTTAAACTTTAAAACAATCCGGTTCGTCCGACTTAGCCATGTGCTTACGTTGTTCTCTAATTTTCCTTTCTTCAACTTAAAAACACAATAACTATAAATTCGTTTTCAGACTCGCTGCACAAAAGACGACCTACAACACGTTTACTGGTCATAATCCACTAAAAGACTTGAGGAACCAAATTAATAAAGCATCCGCAATATCAGGATGTTCAAGAAACACAATCTGGTCGAACTCGTATATGCGAATAGACAAGGGGTCCAATGGGACTTAAGTGTGGTGTGTGGTTTCGCACGCACTCGTGAATCCATACATGCGAATAGACAGCAAAATTCGGATATACAAAACGTGTATGAGACCGCTAATGACATACGGAGTGAGGGCAGAAACAAACAAAACCAAGAGCATGCTTCGAGTGGCCGAGATAAAAACACTAAGATCAATTACAGGGAAAACTAAAATGGACAGAGTGAAAAATTCGGATATTAGATATCAATGCAACATTCTAGACATAGTGAGATGTGGAAGACTGCGGAAAAGACAATGGCATAATCACGTGAGGCTTCCGTGAGGTGGATGATACACTTCCGAAAATTGTGCTTGTAAATAACCCTCCGGTTCGAGACCACCTGGGAGACTCCCAAAGAGATGGCGTGACAGCTGGAAATTGACATCTCAGGAAATGGTTCAAAGGCAACGACCTCAGAATTAACAAATCTCCAATAAGAAGAAGACGCTGCTGCTAGTATCGTACAAATTAGATATTTTTTCAATATTTTTAAGATGCTCATATCACAGTTTAAATAATTGTTACTATTGTCAAAATAATAGTTCAAATTTCAAAAAAAGACGTTAGTGATACATGAAAGTGCCAGTAACCGACTTTTATTTCGCCAACCAGGGAACACCACAATTAACATCAAGTAGACTGGAAATATTAAGGCGGCCATAACAAGTGGCAGTTGTTTTAATACCCATATCTGTCAAAATTTGCCCCAAGCTACAAATTCATTCGTTACATTTCATTAATCAAGCTTGGAAAGACATACGATCATTGAAAAAAAATAATATGTTTTTCGTTTATGCATAAATAGCCAGAGCTATCAATGTTGGCCGAAATGTATAAGAAGATAGATTTACCGACAGAAACATCCCATCCCGTGCATCATTTTATCGTATTGTCAAACAATTGCCCAAGACTGGAGAGCTTCAACAGAGAAAAATTCGGCTCAAGAAAACGAGACCGGTTAATGTTAATCCGAAGACTGTTTGTAACAATCCACATTTCTTCTCGCGCTAATTCTAGAGGCAGTTGCTACTTTATATTAATTGTGGTGCTCCCTGATTGCAAAAATTAAAAAAGACAAGGCTTCGTTGCCTTATTATAAAAGGATATCCAAAACTTGCAAAAAAATTAATGATTTTGCTGCATTTTGCATCAGCAAAATCCACCATTAAACAAGACACTCTGCATAGATATTACGATTGTCAACTATATTCTCGTAAATGCGACGCATTGCNCGTTTCGTCCGACCGACCCATGTGGTTAAGTCGTTCTCTAATTTATTCTCCTTTTTTCTACTTAAAAACACAATAACTATAAATTCGTTTTCAGATTCGCTGCGCAGAAGACGACCTACAACAACAACTCTACCACTTCTTTCAAGCTGCAATCTTAATATGGCTATCTCCGTTGATAAAACCAAGTCCATGACTACTGCAGAATATCCGATCAGATATAAACTCGTAATCGATGACAAGTTAATAGAACAAGTCATGTAATTTAACTATTTAAGCGTACACATATCTAGCGGTCATGATCCAGTGAAAAACTTCAATAATCAAATTAATAAAGCATCCTCAATATCCCTGGTCTCTGGTGTACCGGAGGGAGGTATTCTGAGTCCTATTCTATACAATACATATACATCAACAATGTCAGAACGCTTAAAATATTGTAATTTTCACTCGTACACTGATGACACCCAGATCTATTACTCGTTTCTACCTTCAGATCTCCAACGCGCAATGGGTATTATAAACAACGATATGTCAAATATTTTACAATTCTCAAGAGATCACTCCCTAGTAGGGATTGATGTGTAGGGGTCCCTGCACATTAATAGCGCTAAAACTACAGTTACTGTCTTTGGCACGGATCATGCGCGCTCACTTTTAGGCCCATTAACCTAAGTTATAGATGGACAAGAAATTGAGGTACAAAATACGGTGAAAAGTCTGGGTGTAATAATGAGCGGTCAGCTATCTTTTACAAAGCATATCAATCTCACCGTACAGAGGGCCTTCGCAGCATTAAAGGTAATTTTTAATAACAGGTTTTCACTAAATCAAAATACAAAAAAACTACTATGCGACCTACTAGTGCTGTCTAGATTTAACTATTGCGACACTATGGCGCTTTTGGATGTGGGTAGAATACAGAGAATGCAAAAATCGTGTCGGAGATTGATATATGGTATTTGTAGCCGTCAATCTATATCGTGCAAATTAACACAAGCGAAGTGGGTAAACATGGAGAACGACATTTATTGCATTGTTTAAGTATGTATCACAAAATTATCACCAATTAGTCACCACCATATCTCGCATATTATCGTACAGATGTGCATAATCTCAATCTCAGACATAGACGCTTGCTTGAAATACCTGCACACCGGATAGAGTTTTTTAAACGATGCTTCTCATATCAGATAGTCTCTGACTTTCGTACCTGACGCCTGTCGCAATTTCAAGCTCTGTGGCTGTTTCAGTGAATTATTCAATGTTCCAGTGAACATTGAAGTTGTTTCTCTGTTTTTTCTGCTTCGTTTGATGATGGGCCTACATTTCATATAATATTGCGTTTTTGTTTTTTTTTTATGTTAGGGATAATTTAATTTACCGTTGTTCTTTTGTTGTATCTAGTTTATTTTGATTTCATTTGATCAATTATGCTTTATTTAATGTAATGTAAAGGTTATGTTTGAAAAGCGTTTCGTCGCAATTTTGCGTCAGACGAAACATCGCCAATTTTCAGTTCTATGTATATTGTTTTGGTTTTTTACTGTTTTGTTTGTATATATATATATATATACTTTTTTGGAAATAGAAATAAAGTTTATTATTATTATTATTATCAGGATGCTTAAGAGACACAATCTGGTCGAACTCGTACATGCGAATAGACAGCAAAATTCGGATATACAAAACGTGTATAAGACCGAAGCATGCTACGAGTGGCTGAGATAAAGACACTAAGATCAGTTGCAGGGAAACGAGAATGGACAGAGTGAAAACTTCGGATATTAGAGATCAATGCAACGTTCTAGACATAGTGAGATGGGGAAGACAGCGGAAAAGACAATAGTATAATCACGATTCAACGACCTCAGAATTAACAGATCGACAGATCTCCAATAAGAAGAAAACCCGCTGCAACTACTAGTACTGTACAAATTATACATTTTTTCAATATTTATCAAGATGCTATCACAGTTTACATAATTTCAAAGAAACACGTTAGTGTTACCAACGTACAGTACAAATTACTGGATATGTGGAAAAAGTGCCAGCAACCTACTTTTATTTCGCCAACCAGGGAACTCCACAATTAACATCAAGTAGACTGGAAATATTAAGGCGGCCATAACAAGTGGCAGATGTTTTAGTATCCATATCAGTCAAAATTACCCTTACTTACAAATTCATCATTGAAAAAAAGTGATATGTTTTTCGTTTGCGGAGAAATAGCCAGAGCTATCAATGTTGGCCGAAATATATACAAAGAAAGATTTCCCGTGCATCATTTTATCGTATTGTGAAACAATTAGCCAAGACTGGAGACCTTCAACTGAGAAAAATTCGAGTCAAAAAAACGAGAACGGTTTATGATAAGTGATAATACAATCAATACTTAAATTGCTGCTAGTAATCCACATATTTCTTCTCGCGTTAATTCTAGAGGTTGTTGCTTCTTGACATTAATTGTAGTGTTCCCTGGTTGCACTTTGAATTTTTATTATGCATAAATTATCATTAAATAACAAAAAGTTTCAAATAAAAGTTAAAAAAGAGAAGGCTTCGTCGTTGCCTTATTATAAAAGGATAACCAAAAGTTGCCAAAAATTAATAATTTCGCTGCATTTTGCATCAGCAAAATCCACCATTAAACAAGACACTCTGCATAGATATTACGATTGTCAACTATATTCTCGTAAATGCGACGCATTGCATCCTAAATTTCGGCAGATGTTACCTTTAGACGAGAAAACACATCAATGCATCATGTCAAAGCAAGATAATTTAAATATTTACCTGCAAAGTAAAACGAAACATATAGAGTAATGTCTCGATAATCCGTATGAGCGGTAATCCGAAATACTCTGTAATCCGTACCAAAACTCGTTACTCGATGATCCGAGTATCCTACAATCCGAATACATATTTATTTTTGTATAGTTCTTTCTGTGTAACTCTCTTCTATGTATTAGAAGATATTTATAAAGAAGTGCTATCATGATCTTTGTAAAAGAAAAATTTTGCAGACAGGAGAACTTCAAAAAATTCATATGAATAATTGACTAAGCAGACTAGGGTTATTATGGGAAATATGGGATTATTATGAAAAAGACTACTTTTGTGCTTGTAGAGGCTAGATGGCAAAATTTAGAAACAGATATCGCTAGTGAAATTTGATTTGATTTTGCTGTCTAACAATTTTCAAGCAATTGTACCGCTTAAAAAAGTTGGCTCAACAGATTAGAAAAGAAAACTAAAGCCCTAATTTAATATACAACACAGCCGAGTCAGCTTTCTTTTATAAAACTCTCCCAGATAAAACTTTGGTGGGATCTAACAAAAAAATAATATCAGGGCGTAAAAAAATGGATCAGAATATAATCCGCTTAATAAAACTATTTTACCTAAAGACCCTTAGAAGATAAATTTGTACCATGCTGTATGTCTACTTTCAGTTTCAGGAAAAAAATAACATCTTCGTTAATTAAGAAATGTTGGAAAAACTTGTACAGCAATGAAGAATAAGAAGCCGAAGTTTTGATGCCATTGGCTATAGTAAAATAAAACATAATTGCGGCATGATTATCTAAACAGTCAACAGCCAAAAAAGAAGCAAATATGAACATCAATAAGAATTTTTTTTTTAATTAACATTAAATTATAATTTATTTTCATTATTTATACATAGTTGCCGAATTGCCCTTGTTTTAATTGATTCGGATTATCGAATCATCACTGTATATGAAATGTGGCAAAAGATCAAAGCGTTTCGTTAGAAATTAATATTTATTAAAACTTTACTTTCGCGCTCTGGCAGAAATGTGAAAATATTCGATGAATATGTAGCTGTTCTGAATTCTTTAATAGAAGAATATACGGAAAGCTTAGGACCGGCAGTGATACCCAGCGAGCTATTCAATCTATCCAGGTAATGTTAAAATAAGATCAATTAATCTTTTCGTGGTTCCAATTAGTTTCACTATTACTGGAGTGTTTGTTATGTTTGCCTACTTTTTTGTTTTGCTTAGCAATGCAATAAATCAACAAAGTTATGCAAAATCTATATGTATATATATTATGTCAAATCTAAAAGTGGCCTCTAGTAGTCTAGAGTAATCTGCGCAATCATTTGCTCAGAAAGTTTTCGGTGGTTGGTTTCTAAACCATATAGAAATCGCTTAATTTGTTTTGCCGCACCCTGTAAAAGATTTGTTCGTAGAGCAGTACTCGTTTTATAGCCACTCATCTCAAATAATTTGACATGTGCGAATGGAATTTCAAACCAGTCAGAAGCTTTCTGACAGGATTGTACGACAAAACCTATTGTGTCTCTTTAATAAATATGATATTTATCATTACTGTAATGATAGCTGCAGTTGAATATAGACCGTATAGACTACAGAAAAAACAATAACATAGTTNCGCTGCATTTTGCATCAGCAAAATCCACCATTAAACAAGACACTCTGCATAGATATTACGATTGTCAACTATATTCTCGTAAATGCGACGCATTGCATCGTAAATTTCGGCAGATGCTAACTTTAGACAAGGAAACACATCAATACAACATGTCAAAGCAATACAATTTAAATATGTAGGTGCAATGTAAAACAAAACATATACAGGCTGTTTAGAAATTAGCGGATAATGTACTTGTGTATGTATTCTTCGTTAGGTTCTAAAGCGACAATCTTATTTTTAAAATGTTGGACCATGCTTCATACCTCTTCATGAGGTTCTCAAATAATCCATAAATAATCATTAGTATTCAATATCTGTTGATACATAAGATGTTATTTAAAATAAAAAGAATTTTGAAAACTAGTTTTTTTGTTAAAGTTATTTTCTTTAGCTTTAAATTTCGTTTTTCACATTTTTCATTTTCATATCTTCATGAAAAACACATTTGGCAATATAGTAGAACAACATTTAGCATTAAGATTTTCCCATTATCTATTATCACATTATCCGCCAATTTCTAAACACCAAATCAAGTGTCACGAAAAAAAATAATATTTTTTAAAACTTTGCTTTGTGATTGGATATATTTGCAAAACATTTAGGTAGCAAAAATGTTGATCGGACAGAAATGTGAAAATATTTGATGAACTTGTAGCTGTTCTGGATTCTTTAATAGAAGAATATACCGAAAGCTTAGGACCGGGAGTGATACCCAGTGAGCTATTCAATCTACTCAGGTAACGTTAAATTAAGATCAATTAATCTGTTCCTGGTTCCAATTGGTTTCACTATTACTGGAGTGTTTCTTATGTTTGCCTACTTTTTTGTTTATTTGTTGTTTTTTGCTTAGAAATGCAATAAATCAATAAAGCTATGCAAAAAGTATAACAATTTCAGAAAAGTCGCATTTATAGATGTATCAACTTTTGCTTCCTCCTTTATTACTGCCAAATTTAAAAGTGGCCTCTAATGGTACTCCACTTCTGGTCTAGACTAATCTGTGCAAACATTTGCTCACAACGTGGTCGGTGGTTGGTTTATAAACCATATAGAAATTGCTTAATTTCTTCTGCCGCATCCTGTAAAAGATTTGTTCGTAGAGCAGTTCTCGTTTTATATCCAGTCATCTCAAATAATATACTCACGTGTCAATAGATTGTTTGCATTATTTGAAATGTGCGAATGGAACTTCAAACCAGTTAGAAACTTTCTGACAGGATTGTACAACAAAACCTATTGTGTCTCTTTAATAAATATGATATTTATCATTACTATAATGATAGCTGTAGTTAAATATAGACCACAGAAAAAACAATAACATAGTTTCATGCCCAAGGATCCACAGTTTTTCGACTTTATTCAATTCCATCAAAGGCGACCATTTTAAAACTTTAAAAAGCCATATTCATTGTATAATCAAAAGAATATTAAATATTTATAGATAGATGTTATAAGTGAAAAATAAGGTAATTTAGATAAACATACTTTTTAAGTATAAACAAAACATTGAAAGATTTTTTTAAAATACTTAACCCATGTGGCGACAGCAACAAATTTTTGCCATTGTTTTTCCACACTATCTTCATTATTAATTAAAATTTAGCCTTACAGTGCTGGCGCCCTTTCCGTGCCGTGTATGACGGATCCAATCCCCAGGACTTATTCTTGTTACACTGCTAATTATTTTGATATTTTGGCGACTAGTTCTGATGCTTATCTGCCTCTTCTATCATATATTAATGCATATTCTACTATCATCACATTTTTCTAACTTGAAAAAGAAACATTACTTCTGGAACATATAAAATCAAAAATATTACAAAGTAACTTCTGACATTATGCATGTGACAAACACAAATAAAAATTACTGTGAGCCACATTCTAGTACTCATTTCGGGTTTGTTCTTATCTCAGATTGATTGATCCAATCGATCATCATGGTGCACACTTGAGGTCAGAATGGCATTTTTATACTTTTTGGAAACATATGACTTTTTTCTCCTGATAAATGAAAAACTAAGCCATATTTGCGAGTTCGCCCTTTTGAATGTAAATGGTATTTTTTCCAGATAAACCCGTCTTTTCCGACGAATCCAATGACGTTTTACCACTGGAAGCACATTGTTCGCAATTCATTGTAGAAAAGTTGACACCACTATAGTGTTGTAACTGTGTGAACAAGTACTATACTAAAGCCAACATATTTGTTAATTCGAAGTTCACTCAATTCTAGTAAGGTCTTAGTACATAAAAAATCTATGTAACTTATGTTTTATGTAATGAAATGACTATAAAATAAATTAAACAATTTATTTATATTTAAAATCATACACACATAAGTATTGAATTCAAAGCGGAAAAATATATAGTAAAAAATTAGGTTTAAAGGACCTTAAAAGTAACATAAAAAATTGATAATATCTGTATTAATAACTTTTTCTGTGTTAAATATATTTAGGTGTGGTTTTTTTGTCCAAGTATTGTCAAAATTATCCCTCTCTCTAAAAATCATCAACATTCTAAAATCTAACAAGAAAAAAATTTTATAACCCAGAAACTTACACGTTAATAAATTTCTGAATTCCAAAATGAGTTCTTGCAAGATTAACCATTTTGTCTGTATACGTAAATATTTCGTTTCTCCGAATAAAAATTTACATTTATTATATCGTATTTTTTTAAAAAATATATTATTATTATCATTAATATGATTGGTACGTAAAGCTATTAGTGTAAGTTGTAGGCGTTTGCACGTCACTTGCGTACGTTTGGAATGTCCCGTTATTTTCTGGTTTTAATGGGGCCACACCCGGTTCCGCTTTATAACTTTGTACTTCCTCTTTCATTCCCATATCACCACCAATTACCCCAACTCCACCATCTTCATACGTTATACTAACATTACTCATCGTTATTTGTTGTTCTTGTCCAATTTGTTGTCCATCCTGTATTTGAACGTATACATTTTCAGCTATAATTGGAGCTACGACAGGATTATGAACAATCATTGGACCAACCCCTTCCGCTAATAATTCTTCTTCTTCAAGGGAACGTTTTTTGCCGTGAGTTTTAAATCGAATTGGTGCTGGTTCTCCAACTGGTGCAACAGGTTCTACACGATGCCCTCCTTTTAGATCTGGTGGAATCTCTTTCCAATGTCCTGTTGAACGTTTGTGCGCTTTTAATTGTCCGGATTGAATAAACCTCGCCGGACAAACTCCACAAGCGTATGGACGAGAACCTGTGTGTCTACGCATGTGTAATGCTAAATCGTTTGATTGTGTAAAAGCTCTTCCACATAAATTACAAACATACGGACGTTCACCTGTATGTACTCTTGTATGTCTAAGCTAAAAAAAAACATAAATATAGTAGATGATTTTGAAGAGAATAATTTTTTTCTAACCAGTTTGTTACTTTTGTTGAATGCTTTTGAACACATAGTGCATTTATATGGTTTTTCACCCGAGTGAGTTCTTTCGTGACATTTTAAATCGTGCGATCTTGGAAAACCTTTACCACATTGATCGCATTTGTATGGTCTTTCTCCTGTATGTCTACGCATGTGTACTATCTAAAAGTGTTTATAAAAATTACACAGGGGAATAAGTTCTGCGGCATAAGTTTATGGAGGCAATTCAGCCTATACATTATTTCGTTTGAATTGACTCTGATTCTCATGATTAATCGTTCTATAAAAAATACAGGTATTTTTACTAACATTTCCTCATTAACATGTCTTTTTCGAAGTATAATAGCACCTTGCTCATAATTTTTGAGTGTTAAAAAATCCCAATAGATTATATTATTTAATTTATTGAGCGTTATTGTTACAAAAAGTATGTAAGAATCTTATGGATTGCAAAAAATATTAATGCTGGCACGGAGTTCAGAGAAAATAGAGGTGGAGATCGGTGGAAAAATAAACTGCTGAAGCAAAGAGAAGAGATTTAAAGTTTATAGGAAACTTTAAAGGGGTTGAAAGCCATTACAATAGGGCAAAGTCCAAGAGGTTATACTTGAGCTCTACTCTCAACATAAATAAAATGTTGAAAATGTATAATGAAAGTATGGACCACCACCTTCAAGTAAACTATTTGTTTTTCCACAAAATATTTTCAACTAAATTTAATTTAGGGTTTGGTTCACCAGCAACCGAGATTTGCAGTTACTGCGAACGTCTTAAACACAAAGTATTATCAGCAAAGTGTTCAGAAATTAAAAATAAATCATTGAGCGATCTCAAAATACATAGAGTAAGAGGTAGGCAGTTTCACTTAATGATGAATGCGAAAGAAGAAGGTACTGCATCATTTTGTTTGATCTACATCAGGTTCAGCAACTCCCGAAACTTCCTATTCAGGAATGTTTTTATTCACTACAGATTGGAATGTATGCACTTTGTATTGTTAATTTGAAAAGCTCGTCACTTCACTTTTACATGTGGGTTGAATCATCAAACATTTTTTAAATAGTAATGATTGGGCTGGTGTACGAAAACTTAGATTCTTCGCTGATGGCTGTGGTGGCCAAAATAAAAATAATCATATAATCACCACGTAACCTTGAAGAAATCGCAGTAGTTTTTCCAGTGACTGGCAATTTCTATCTCCCAGCAGATAGGGTTTTCGGAAGAGTTGAAAAGGAGTTAAGAAGGCATGCAGAAATTCTTTTACCTGAACATTACCACGAAATTTACAAAACAAAATTGGAAAAGTACACATATTTGGAATATATTGGCAAGCTTATGATATGAACAAAAAAAGAGGTTATTCAAGAAATTTACGAACCATAAGTCCAATACAAGTCAAGTTAAATTTAAATGTGAGATGCACTACAGATTCGAAAATCTGTTAAAAGCTTTTTTGTAATTCGCGACGGTAATGAAAGCTCTAACAGTACTCAAACGGGTGTTGTAATGAGACTCCTTACAGCATCCGATGCTGTAATGAGATTTTAGTAACATTTTATAGAACCAGTTCAAGTTGGTGACATTGGGTCATTAATTTTTCTAGTTGTCAATGTGACAATTTTTGTTTATAGATGTTTAAACATGTTCTTAGCATCGAATACAAGGTCCACAATGATGAAGATATTGAACACTGAGCAATTTCTCTTATTTTGGGAGGTGTACATGAAACATTTTTTTCAGATGAATACATTTTGTGTTTTGACAGTTTCTAATTGTCACTTCAAATTGTCATTTTCAAGTGTTACGGTGTTACCAATTGCTGCATACCTATTTCCCTACATTGTCAAAATTTATTTTATTTTTGTTAAAAAAAAAGGATAAAAACGCGAATTACAAAAAATAGCATAAAAAACACGTTTCATAAGACTTAAAGCACTCATTCGTTAAAAAACTCGTGGCTTTAAAACTTGTTTTTTAATATACTATTATAACACTAGTAAAACACCTTAAAAAGTTAAACGCTGTCGAGTTATCATTACTGGATTCTGTAAGAGGAATTGCACAGGATAAAGTGGAGACTATGGATGCTCTACTAAAGAAACGTTTTGGGGAGGAACGTAATCTTTACTGAACAATATGATGGCGACGATCAGTTATGTCATTGCTTAGAAGAAGATTGTGAACTAAAACATTAACTTTTGTCTTAATCTATGTAAGAGTTTGCATTTTCCACTTCGAATATACATTTTGTTACGTTACGTTGTTGTCATTCTAAAACAATGTTGCTTTCAAAACGCAAAAATTTACAACTTTTTTTCCAAAATGCAACATATACAAGGGTCTTTTTGGCAATTCTCGGCTATAAAACATATTTCATGAGTAATTAATTGTGTCTAAAAAGACTAATGCAATAACTAACATATAAAAAGAAAATAGCATCATTACATTTGGGGTAACATCGTCACAAATTGTTCTGGTTTTCTCAACGCGCTTTGTAGAAAAGCTCCTCAAATGCTCCAGAATTTCCAAAAATTAGGAGCTAATATGAGTGTCAAATAGCATTATTTGCGGTGATTATAGCGAAGAACAACGGGAACGATTCAATCAGGACATCAAGGCTATGGAAGAAAGATATCAAGACCTTTGGGATGGCCATATCATGTCAGACTACTGCTGGAAGTTGCAAGGAAACTGTCCGGACCAAAAACAGCATAGAAAATCCCATACAAACATTTTTCTTAACTCTTATTGACATGTTTTTGTTTTTTTGTATCATTTATAGCACTTTGTTTATTTGAAATCATTTGATAATAATAAAATAAACGTTTTAAAAATATTCTCCTCTTTTTAAAATTTCATTTCCAGTATAAATGCCCTTATCTTAAAAAATAGAGTCAATTCAACAAAAATATTATTGACTAATAAACCCCATGCCACAGAATCAGTGTTGCCCTGTGATATAGAATCTAATAGGTACTTATTATTTATGTAATAGCATACCATATTACTTGAATTATTAAATTCTTTTCCACAATATATACATAAATGCAATTTGGCATTATCTCTTTGCCCAGAATGAATCCTTTGATGAGCCCTAAGATTATCCAATCGATTAAAAGCTTTTCCACACTCATTACAAATATGTCTTTTATCCTGTTGCAAATGTAATTTGATATGCCTTGCTAAGTGATCAGATCTAAAACAAAAATTTTTACAATTTCCTCCATACAATTACAAAAATCCCTAACCTTTGAAATACTCTCTCACAAACAGAACACTTGATATCCAATTCCAATGGATTTAAATGAATTTTTAAATGTCTAATGAGATGTTCACCTCTCGTATACGTTTTATTACAAACCGTGCAAGTGTACGGTTTATCAATATGGTCCTCTTTCATGTGTTTTGATAAAAATTCTTCACTGGCAAACGCTTTGTCGCAACGTTCACATTTGTGAATGAGTACATTACGATGAAGGGTCATGTGACGCGTTAAATGATTCGAACGGACAAATTTTGCGTTACAAACGTGACACATATGAACTTTACGCGGTTTAGAATTAATGGATCCGTCTTCTTGATTTGGATCTAAATTATCTGTTTCATCTAAATTACCCAAATCGCTATCAGCCGATTCTAAAAAGAAAATTAAAAAGAAGAAATTTGAGAAACAAAATAACAACATAAAACAAACCAGTTTCTTCTTTATCGCGAAGACCACCTCTCGTCGATGATTTTCTCTCGTTTTTCGCTACAAGAATACTTAGAGGGGTGTCGCTATCATCGGAGATTCCATGTTCTGTTTGCATATGGTGTGTAAAGCTTTTTTTATATTTAAATTTTCTATCACAAAATTCACATTGCATTACCTAAAATTAAAATCAAAGAACGAATTGATTTTAGATATAAAAAAAATATGGAAAAATTCAAGAATCATCATGTGACTTAAAAATCGACGATTTTTTTGTAATCAAAAAAAATTTTAAACATACCGAAAAGCACATTAAAGTTTCGATGTGACGTCACGTTTTGTAGCGTCAAAAGCAATGTTAACCTTGCATTTTCCTATTAAAGTTATTTTCACTAAATTAGGTGAGATTACAACGTATATTTACGGATGAAACACCTTGTTATGTCATGTTTGTGTACTAGAACTAACACTACACGAAAACTAGAAACATTCGGATTTAGTCGCATGTCTCTCAAGACGGCTAAACCCGAATGATTCTGGTTCTAGGTCGTGTATTCTAGGCACTATCACTAGAACTGACGAAACTAGAACTAGAAAGTCTAATGTTTCTAGTTCTAGGTGTAGTGTTAGTTCTAGTTTTAGTTCAATAAAAATTTGCAACAGTGATATCTTATGCTAACTAGCGCTACCTACCACTGTCACAAGAACTAACATTAAACCTAGAAGTAGAAACATTCAAGTTTAGCCATCATAAGAGACGCACGGCTAAACGGAATGTTTCTAGGTCTAGTGGTAGTTCTAGTGATAGTGTAAAACTAGAACTAACACTAGATCGAGAACTAGAAACATTCGGATTTAGCCGCACGTCTCTCAAGACGGCTAAACCCGAATGATTCCAGTTCTCGGTCTCGTGTTAGTTCTAGTGATAATGCTAGTGCAAAACTAGAACTAACACTAGACCTAGAAGCAGTCTGAAGACGCACGGCTAAAGCCGAAACTTTCTAGTTTTAAGTCTAGTGTTAGTTCTAGTTTTAATTCAACAAAAATATGCAACTTAGTGATATCTAGTGCTAAGTAGCGCTTATAGCACTGTCACTAGAAGTAGTATTAGACCTAGAACTAGACGGTTAAACCCGAATAATAGGCCAAGAACTAGAAACATTCGGATTTAGCCGCATGTCTCTCAAGAGGGCTAAACCCAAATGATTCTAGTTCTAGGTCTTGAGTTAGTTCTAATGATAGTGTAAAACTAGAACTAACACTAGACCTAGAACTAGAAGGTGTTGGGTAACCCAACCCGGAATTTACAAGCCACCCTCTGCTCCATGCCCAATCCGACATTTGAGAAATTCGCACTGGTTTAAATGTTAACTAACCTAACTCAAAGTGGAAGTCTCACAAAATTCTGAAATAAATCAGTAAATTAGGTGGATCCGAATGTAACGTTTAAAGAGGGGGGGTAGGGCATCAGGTATAGATTTTAGGTTATCTTTAGTTATAGATAGCAAACAACAACATTTTAGTAGTTGTATGTCGAAAATCTAAGAAACAATCGTATTTCACCCGAAAATATGCGTTTCAACCAAATGTGCTGCGAAAATATACACTGCCTCAATAAAGCCTCCGTACAAATTAAATTTTAAAATTTCTACAAATAAATTAAAGAAGATACATCTCCAAGGTAATGAAAAACTTGTTAGGATTGATGAAGAAATGTAAGGAATTCAAACTGTAACATTTATTTCCAAATTGAACGTTTTTGGGATTTATAAAAAAATAAATCCAAGAAAAAGCGTAAATTCTACGCATAAGTCTCTGTACACTGGCTACCTTAAACAATTCTCCTACCAGTCTTAATTGTTCCCGCAAAAAGACTACTGTAGTTTGATGTCGTATTCGTGCCATTCAATTTTTGGATATTTATTAAAAATGAGTACCAGAAACCGCCAAATTTCACAAAGCATTCGAGATTTGATTGTTAGGAAATCACTAAAATAGTAAAAAAAGCACGTTCGTCAGTGCAGTATATTATAGAAAATTACAATAAAACGGGGATCACAAAAATACAGCTTCGTTCAGGGCTTCCTAGAGTATTGAGTGTTCGAGAAATGAACGCCCACTATTAAATAAAGTGCGTGAAAATCGCTGATGAACTAAATTATGTATCTCAAAGGACAGTAAGTGCACAAACAATTAGAAATTTTCTCTACAAAAATGGATACCATGGCCGCATACCTAGGAAGAAGCGTATAAAGGAATTTACAAAAAAAATTTTGTAAATACGACGAATTTTGGAAATCAGTAATTTTTAGTGATGGAGCAAAAATTAATTTATCCATTGTGATTGGCGCTTTAAAGTTTGGCGAAAACGTAACGAAACATTCAAACGAGAAAATTTGCAACAGCAATATATGGAGTTGGTAGTAGGGCTTGCAATACTGGACCAAAATCTCAATACCGGTATTCGGTATTCAAAATTTTGAAAACCGGGATACCGGTATTACTATAAAAAAAGTTTACTCACTAAATTACAATCACTAGATATATCTAATTGTAAGGCCTTTTCCCCCTCTGCGACGTCACCTCTACTAACAACAGGTTAATTCCTACTATATTGTTAGATTGGCAACAAAGCATAAGATACAGAATTTGAGAAGATAATCAAAAAATGGAAAGATATTAGGAATCTGTACAAAGTACCAATAAACTTAAGATCTGGATACCATTATTGTTTTGTTGTCTTTCACTTGGTCCAAAGGTTCAACTTCACTACCGCGTCAAAAAATTAAATTACACTTTATCATCTGAAGCTCTGTGGAATTCTTTCGAATTCCTGCTATGGAATTTTCTGGAAAGGTGCAAATTCAAGAAAGAAACTGTAACATAATGTTTCTTGGTAGTATGTCAGACTTATCATACTACTGTTATACTTGGTGGGACACTACACGAATCAAACTGACCTGAAACACCATTATGGAGTAAAAACTCCAAAAACAGTTGTATACAGAGAGTATTTTATTGTTGGCTTGGTATGACAAATTTAATGAACACGAACATTAAGTGATCATCATCAAAGGTTGAGTCTTCGTTATCTTCAACATTCTGTCAGAGTGCAAAATGATATTTCTTGTAGATGGTATTCACACTGATCAAAAAATGTCACTTGAAAAGATGAGGTTAGTACGGACATAAGATAGATAACAAATTTCTGTTTGATCAACATCACTTTCCAGCACAACTTCAAACTAGCACGGCCGTTTTCGAAGACATCGGCCGCCCCCGGCCATCGAGGGCACTAAATAAAAATAATACCGAAATACCGGTATTTTGCCATCAATACCGGTTTTTAATACTGGACAAAAGTTGTCCGGGATCCCAAATGGCAAATTGCAATCCAAGGGCAAATTGGAATCAAAATTAGAAGAACAAGCTTCTTGTTCTCTTGAAAATTCAACCAGTTTTTCGCCAACATTATACCCGAATTACCCAAATAAATCCGGATTAACAAGTTGAGAAAAACGAAAGTATGATGAAGATTATATCAATTTTGGATTGGCGATAAAAATGAGCCAAATGGGTTTTGTGTAATATGTGAACAAGTAGTGAACAACAGCAGTTTAAAACCTGCAAAGTTCAAACGTCATTTGGAAACTAAACATCCGACTTTAAAAGGTAAAAGCGAATATTTTAAAAGAATATGTATTGAACTAAATCGAAAAATTAAGACTATTCATCTTAATTTTTCATGTATTATCTACTCTAGAAGTCTGTCAGCGGTTTTTTGAATCACCCTGTATGTAAATATTTGTTTTTCTTTGTATTTATCTATTACTATGCTTATGGCATACTTATATTTTATAAGGAATATTTATCTTTTTGTTTGAATAAATACAAGTTAGATACTCTTGTATACAGGGTAATTCAAATTCGACCCCCACCATTGGGATCTCAGAAACCATAAGAGATACAGAAATGGTTAAACGGGGGCAAAGTTGCGTATCATAGCGCTCATCATTTTTCAACAAAGTTTTTGGATCTAGTCGTTTTAGTTTTTAAAATATGGCCGAAAAACAAAAACAATAAAAGTTTGTATAAGCCAAGGACAGTAGAATCTAACAGGACTGCTACATCCATTGTTGTGACAACCTGCCCGCAAACTACGTCATACCATTTGCCACGCCCAGCTCTATGCGTTTGCTGTGGTTTTAGAGGTTATATCGTAGACGTATTCATACTATTTTTGAAGTTTTATTTTTTTAGACGTATTAATGTCTATCATGTAACCTCTAAATCTCTAAAAACACACAGCAAACGCATAGTACTGAATGACGAAGGGCGTGGCAAATAGTGTGACGTAGAGTGCGGGCAACCAACCTGTAGTGGGCTACAAAAATACAATGCATGTAGCAGTCCTGTTAGATTCTACTGTCCTTGGTATAAGCTAGTTAATTTTATTCTAATGAGAAAGAATAATGTCACTTTTGAAGTATTCTTCATAAGCATTGTTTGTTGGTTTCTATGGAAACACTTAGCGCACAAGTTACAGCTTCCTAATAAGATATTCGTTTTTATTTTTTAAATAATTCAATGTTTTTTAAAATGAAATACACTGTGTGACATATCATTGAAATCAGAATTAATTATTCTATTTTTTGGTGTGAAAATCAAAAATATGGCGTTCATAAGAAAAAATAAACCTGATGATAGTTTCACGAAAACGAAACGTTAGAGAAAATTTCTAGTTGTGTCATGACGTTTTTTATAAAAAGTTGCTTTAAGAATGTTTTTTCAGATTCACGAAAAAACAAAAAATAAAGAAGTTATAGACAAAAAACGAAAAAGTATTTTTTTTGTTTTTCGGCCATATTTTAAAAACTAAAACGGCTAGATCCAAAAACTTTGTTGAAAAATGATGAGCTCTAAGATACGCAACTTTGCCCCCATTTAACCATTTCTGTACCTCTTATGGTTTCTGAGATCCCCCCTGAATTACCTGTATATGCTTAGCAGGGTTGATGATGTCACAAAAAGTGACGTCACGTCGAAACTTTAAAGTGTTTTTTGGTAAGTTTTACACATTTCCGCATTTTTTTTTTATTTGCAACGGCTTACTAGAGTGATTTCCCGTCGATTAAAAAAAATGGACGATTTTTGAATTTTACCATAAATATACCTTTCTATCCCTTGATTCATGCTTAACTGATGTTAATTTTAATTTCTTTTTATGCGAAGACATATGACGTTTTAAATGATTACTTTTTTCGTAAGCTTTATTGCATATCTAGAAAAAAAATGATTTAAACCAGAATTTAAAAGTTTTCAATTCCAAATCAATCTTTTTTACCTTACAAGAAAATAAACTAATTCCTGTATGTCTCCGTAAATGCACTTTTAAATCTTCCAAATTAGCTAAAACTTTTGCACAATGTTTACAAGAATATTTACCATCTTCATCAGGTTTTACATCATCAAGATCACATTCATTCTTAATTTCTGTTTCATCTTCATCATCATCATCACATTCCTGTTTTATACAACCATCATTTTGTTTCCTATGTTCTTTCATATGGGTATCCAGTGACGATAAAGTGTGAAATCTTAATTCACAATGAGTACATGGAAAATTATCTCCTTCAACATTAACTTCATGATCTGTTTGTAAATGTTTAAATAACAAGGCTTTAGTGAATTTTTTATTACATATGTGGCAAGTTAATAAAGGTTCTTTTGTGTGTCTTTTCATGTGGAGTTGGTAGCCATTTTTAGAACGAAAATTTTTGTTGCAAAAATCACATTTTAAATGAACTTTTGATGATTTGGTCTTGGGTGTGTATTGGATTTCCGAGTCTGTGGATACATTATCTGCATCATTATAAAAATCATCAATATCAACATCCGGTTTGACCTCAATATCTTCTCTTCGTTGCTGATTGGTCAGTTCACGTAATGTATTGTCAGCTTTTTCACATTGTTGCTTAAAAAGGTAAGCAACAGAAAGTTTGTCTTCACAGATTGAACATATTCTTTTAGGTAAACCATCTTCAACATTAACCTACAATTAACATAATTAAGTTGTTTTTAGAATAAATTGAGTGTTTTTGTCTTACAACAACGGAGGCACAGGCCATTAAAACGTCCGCAATTAGAAAAGTTTGATCAATCATGCAGTTTTCAAAAACATTCTTGGCCTCAGGAGTTTCGGTCATACATGACCTACATATCTTATCCATGGACATTTCCACACCGTTATGTATCATTTCTAATATTAACCGAAATTAAAATATTTAATAATTACATCTTGAACTGACCAAACATACAAACGACTGTAGAAGACGTTATTTTAGGGATATTTAGTGAATTTTTAAAGATGTTGTGGTATCAATCTTTTGCAGAAAAAAAATAATGAGAAGCTCACTTCACACTTATTTCCTCGTGTAAACGAGCGCCACCTAGGGGTTAATAAATATACTACATTGATCAACAAAACGTTGATTTTAATAGTATACCATAAAAATATTGAAAAATAACTAATTATTATTAGCAATACGAATATAAATTAAAATTCTGTACAATTGTGACTGTACACAGTTAAATTTAATTTTTCCGCTGTTTGCTTTTTTTGACGAAACATTAAAAAACATAAAAAATAAAATACCCTAGAAAACAAAATATTTTCAAAATTTCTTTTGACAATTTTTCAAAATTTATGCTGTTCTGTATAAAAACCAAGTAACTTCTCAATATGAAATACCTATTAATTTCAAATTCACTTCACATAATGTCCTCTTTAATGCCGTCACATGAATATAAAAAGCCTGGGATAAAAGTGAGGTTAACTGTCTTAATGCCAAGTCAATCCGAATTAGAAGTAAAAAGTGTTATGAGTAAGAAACCAGAATCAAAACCGGGCGATGGAATTCGATCCCTACAAACGTCCAAACTGTTTAGAACGTTAAATTTTGAGCTGTATATGAAACCAGTAAGTTTGATAATTTTTTATTGATGTCATTTTTGTTATACAATAATTTTCAGAATGCTGTTATCATGGGTTTAGGTTTAGCTTGTATGGGAGGTGCCCTCGCTTACATAGCATACATGCGTTACCAATGGGAATCGATGGGATATTACAGTGCTGTAACTGCCGATGGCCAAGAAACCTTTTTAAAGAAAAAATCTAAATGGGAATAACAAATTTTCAATTATGTGTGTAAATATTATGTAACATTTTTTAGGTAATTATTAGTTTTTTATTGCAATACATTAAATTGAATTAAAACGTAAATTTAATTGTTATTTTTAGCTGAGCCCCCTCCTCGTAGTTATACTTCCTGCAAATCAAACTTGTATTTTCCTATGCTATTGAATAAAAGATGTCGCCACACACTTTTAAAATACTTTTCCTTTTAATGTTTCAAATCACTGGCATGATACATCTAACACAGTTCAAGGATATAATACATCATATATTACAATATGATATATTATAATTGAAAATATTTACTTGGATAACAAGATTCAAGCAAAAAAAAAGTGGCGAACTAACAAAACAGATAATAATAATTTTTTATATAGCAACATGTTTACTTGTTTAAACATGTCATATGCACAGCATGCTACAGCCACTTCCCCTCCTATAAAGATGAATAAAAAGAGGAATGTGGTGGACAAAAAAAATTTTTACTTAAAAATTTTTAAATTTAATGGGCTGGATTACTACTCGTTTTTCTCGGGAGCGAACAAATTGCAGAAAATGTTCGTATTCAGTCTGAATACGAACACCTAGTATTAACATTAAATGTTAATGTTTGAAAATAATCCCTGCAAGAAGCATCTTAACTTTACCACATAAAAGAGAAACCGATATTTTATGTACTACATAGCATAACCAAAAAGGACGAAAGCCTCCGAAGATGGCGTAGATCGCCGAAACGCGTCAGGCAGAGTGTAAAACTTAATATATCAATAAAAACATAAATATATGTTTAATTATTTTCACAGTTAATTCTTGGTTATTTTTGAAAATTACGAAATATTTTGGAAATGTTTTTACTACTTTAAATGGGCCTACATATCTTGGGGTTAAAGAGAAATAATGGGATATTGAATCCCATTAATTTTGACAAAAACAAATTTTGAATTGTATAAATCTTTATGAATGAATGGTTTTTGTTTTGAATGAAAAACTGTTGACTGGTTTCAAACAAGAGAATGTTTCTCGTAAGCTAGAAAGCAATGGATCAGATTCCAAAGGATGTTGATTATTAATAAAAAAATCTCCAGGAAGCCTAAGTGGTTTACAATATACTAGTTCGGCAGATGAATAACCTAGATCTTCATTAAGAGATGATCTGAAGCCTAGGAGAACCAAGGGAAGATCATTGTTCTACCTCGTAGTGTTAACTCTGGCAGTGATGACTGTTTTTAAAGAACGGTGAAATCTTTCAAAAATTCCGTTACTTTGGGGATGGAAGGTGGATGTATGAATTTGACGTGTTCCTAGAAGAGTGTGAAATTTTGAAAGGAGTTTTGAGTCGAATTGTCGTCCCTGATCATGGGTGATAGTGCTAGGAATGCCAAATCTACTGAAATAATGCCGAAACAAGTATTCGCAATAGAAATAGAACTAATATCTTTGAGGAAAAGCTTCTGGTCAACGCGTGAAACGATCCACAAGTGAGAGGACCGACCAAATCAATGTGAATATGATCAAATCTTAATTTTAGTATCGGAATTTTGGTAATAGGTGATTTTGTATGTTTGTGAACTTTTGCTTGTTAACATTGCAAACAAGTTTTTGTCCATAACTGAATGTGTTTTGTCATGTGAGGCCAAAAGAATCGTGTTTTGATGATATGTGTAGTTGCGTGAATATCAGAATGTGTTAAGTTTATTGAAAATTGTTTTACGAAATTTTTGTGTACATCTGAATGCGAAGGTTATATTTAGTAGTTTGTGTGTTTGAGTATTGTTTTTTTAGTAAATATGTTAATTCTGTATCATTAAATTGTGCGTTTTTTAAAGTTTATGTGTCAGCAGGGGACTGTGAATTTAGAGAATCAATATTTATTCTGGACTACGTGTCTGCTACAATGTTTGATTCTCCTTTAATGTACCTGATATCTAATGTGTATTGTGTTATGTAACTAAGATTGGAATTGTGTTGATTAGTGGTTTGTGGTCTGTGTAAACCACAAATTGATGTCCATGAAAAAAATGTTTAATGAATTTGATACTAGTGTAATTTGCTATCAATTCTCTATCAAAAGTTGAATAATTTATTTGGCTTGAAGAAAATTTTCGAGGCAGAAATGCTAAAGGTAACGTTTTATAGTCTATAGTCTGTGATAAAACTGCTCCCATGCTTTTCCTTGGGACATCTGTCGTCAGTGAAAGAGTAGCTTCTAGTGATGGGTGTGCAACAGTGTCGGATTTTAATAAAAGTTCTTTGACTTTAGTGAAAGAAATGTCGTGATGATTTGTCCAGATGTAAAGGAACTAAAATGTTTGGCAAAAATCTGTGATAAAAATTTTTCATTCTTAAGAATCGCTGTAAATGTTTAAATGTGGTTGGTTTTTGAAATTCAGTTATGGCTTTAACCTTAGATTGCGAAGATCGAATGCCTTCTGTAGAAAAATGATGACTTTGAAAATTACCTCGATTAAAAATCAAAATAATATCAAATAATATTTATTTGAAATAAAAATATTCATGTAGGAATTTTAGGAAAAAAAATAAGGTAAACAAATTTCTGCAATCATAAATATATTTATAAATGGAATACAGTCTCAGTTTCTGAAACTAAACGTTGTTCCGTTCGTTTTAGTGCGAAACTAAATGGCGTCAGATGCAAATCCCCGGGTCTACCCCTCGAAAGGATCAACAGAGGTTATGTATGTATGTATTTCTTCTACTGGTCAGGTTTTGGAGGTAACATAGTTTCTTTTGATTCTATTTCTTATTATATAATATCTTCACTCTTCAGCTCCATCGAACTGCCACGTAGTTTGACAATTTATGAACACACACAGTAACAAATGTGTATATGGACAAATGTTTACATATACAAGACAATAATACACTCTAAAATAGAGATGAAACAGTTAATGCAAAGATGATTCTGTTAAAATGATTTGTTAACAATCTACCAGAGGGATAAAACCCTTATAAACTAGAAGTATATAATCGCAAAAAGGAATATAGCAATATCAAAAAAAACGTTTTAAGGAAAAAACGAGCACTTTAAAAATTTCTATTCGTCACTCAGTCGTCTGACACCATTAAATCAGATTTGGCAGAAGGTAAAGGTATATAATCAAGTAGTTTTTGTTCATGTTAGACAACAAACAGACAATTTCGAGTGGACAGTGGAATTTATGAATATGATAGCACTCTTCCACTCCCCATCACTAGAAGAAATTCAATTACAAAATACCGAAATCATAAATACAGACTCATCCGGATGTACTGAACTAATAACCATGAAAGAATTTGAAAACTCACTTAACAATAGAAAGGATCTTCCTAACCTTGGTGGCCGGGTATGGATAAGGAAATAGAAGACTTGGTGAGAAATTGCCAAATGAGTAGAATCAACCAGAAAAAGCGCCAATCCATCCGTGAGAGTGGGCAAAAGATCCATGGTCGAGAATACACCTCGATTTTTGCAGGACCAGTTAATGGGAAGTATTTTTTGGTCGCGTATTCAAAATGGTTAAAAGTTCGACAAGTTTCCGGACCATCGACACATGAAACAATAATAGTTCTGATGGAATTATTTGCATGGATTACCACATCTTGTGGTATCAGATCATGGAACTGCGTTCACGTCTAAGAAATTTAAAGAATTTCTTCAGAAACCTAATTAGAGAAGCTTTAATTGCAGCTTACCATCCTAGCAGCAATGTCAAGCTGAGAGACTGGTGCAAAAATTTAAACAAGCATTGAGGAAAATGTCAGGTGAGAATTTACAAGTATTAATGGCTAGATATCTTTTAGTTCAACACATTGGATCACCAGAAGAGATGCTCATGGGAAAATTATCATGTCCATTTGACCGAGTCAAACCAGATTTCATTAAGAACATGAAGAACCAAGCAAGAAGAGAAGTGTTCAACAACACCGCCAAGAATGTTTACGTTAGATGATTCAGTGTTCATGAGATCGTATGGATCACAGGAAAAGTAATCAAAGTTACTGGTCCACTTAGGTATAAAGTCAAAACAACATAAAAGACATGTGGACTAAATGAGAGTGAAGAGGCCAAGAGAAGAAGCAGTTGCATAACCAACTGAACCTTTGATTGGGACAAATGAAGATAAATCACTACAAAAAATACTCAAAGATTTCTTAAAATACTTAATTTAACATTTTGCTTACATCTAGGGAGTTTAAAATTCCTGTTATGGAATTTCAATGTATGAAATAGTCTTAATCTAACAAATAATTTTAAAAGATATTCTAATGGAAACTGTGTACATACAAATGAATGATTAATATTTCTCAAATTTTCTAAAAACAATTTACAAATGCCCCTTTTACATAACAATATTGAGTATGTATTATAAAATGATTCTTCCAATTTAAAAATATAGTTCAAAAATGTATTGTTGGGCACAGTTAAGCTACCAAACATGTTTGTCTCTAAATTACTATCTAACAACAGTCTCTGGCACCTGTCACAATTGTGCACACTTAACACTTTTTTGCATAAATAATCACATACATACTTAAATCCATTTTGTGTTGGTAGTTCTTGTGCCCTATAATCTGTGTCAATCTGAATACCATCATATGGTAAAACTTCTGGAGTTTCTACAAACGTATTAATGTCAGCCATATTGATGTCTTTAATTTTAATAAGAAATGTGGCGAAATCATCTGAGCTTTTCTCATTACCAGTGTGAAAATACTTTTGACAAAATAATTTACGGAATGCTCTCTCAAATTGTATTGGTGTTGGATTGATACAATTGCCGTCTTGCGTCCGAATTTGGCCAAAAAAATGTTCAAGACAGTCTTGATTTATATACCTAGTTGGAATGCTCTCATGTGAATTCTTCAACAAACTCCATAATTTTTGTATTCCTTGAATAGTTACCAGCCAACAATTTAAAAATTTGATGGAGTTTGTTACATCATTACCAATAGAATCCACTATTTTCATGTTCCTAATAAAATCCTTCATTTTGTTTAAAAAGTCGTCCTCTTCTCCCTTATATGTTTTTGAATTTAAAATATCAAATAATTTATTGAATTTTTCAATTACTTCAATAGTCCCAATACATTCGTTCGAAATTACATCTAAAGATAGATAAAGTTCTAAAGCACTTGCGACAGTATTGCTAATAACAGGGGCGGCAAGATTTACATTCTTTTTTTGAAAGTTTGTGGGATTTATATGTGCTTGTGTTAACTTGGGCGCTAATCTAATTCTTTGTAATGAATCCCTTTTATAGAAATTTTCTATGAAACTCCAGAAAGTTTTTTTCCCATCAAATACAAAATGGTGTTTTAATAAATTATTTTTAGTTGCATTCAAGAGGTGTGGGGTATCAAAAATAAACGGTATTTCTTGCCCATTTATTAAAATAAAAGGGTTTTCAGGTGTTATTTTGAAATTGTTATGCAGTTGAATACAATTTCTTCCTATATCAGTCACAATGCATCTTACTTGTAGGCCTACATTCGTCAAATTATTAACGCATTCTTGGATTGTCTCATGAAGGAACGTTGCTGTGCTTGATCTTATAAAAAAATATCCTAGGGGCAGTTTCCAGTTGCTATGAATACCTCTTATCATGAAGACATTAGCCTTATGTGCTGAATAATTTTCTCTATTATTGTTTCCTAAATCTGCTACTCCAACAACCTCATCTCTACCAATGTGATAAAATAAATGTTCTTTGAGTGATATTTCGTCGATACATAAGACACAGTCTTTGTCTATATTGGACATGAAAGCAACCTTAAGTTTTAAGGCGTTATAAAGTTCTAAATTGTTTAGTCCAGGCAAAAATTTTATTAATTGTTTGGTAAATCTTCCTAAAGTTCTTGGTGAAGGTAAATAAAATAAGGTTTGTAAGAATTTATAAGAGTGGGGTCCCAAAAAATATAATTGCATGCTAAACTTTTTGTATGCTTCTGTATATATTCTTCCTTTTGATGTAATATTAGACAATCTCGCCTGGACCTTCACAAACTTTGCCAAGTCTTCTGGTAAAAATTGATCACAACAATTGTCGAATTTTTCCATTGTGCACAATTCATCAGTAGCTTCAGAGAGCATCCCTCTCACTTTTACATTTTCTTTTTGATGATTTTTAAGTGAATTTCTCAACTTTCTTTTATGTGGTGTATCTGATGACAGAGAAATATTTGTTTGGGTTTGGACATATATAAATTAAATAGTCAAAATATTTATATAAAGCAAATATGTGATTATTATAGTAATCAATAGTATTTAATACTTTAAAATATTACAATACCTGATGTAGTACTGGAAGTGGATGGAGCTGACAAATCCTGGGTTGAATCAGAATCCACTTCAACAAATAATGGGCTGAATAAAGATTCTAAAAAATAATGAATTGTCATAATGATTATATATATCTGAAATTAAGTAAAAGTATATTTGAATTTACCTGATAACCATTCATGTGATTCATGAGATTCTATACATCTCTCTCTAGATGGTCCTGCTTCTATAAGATATTTAAAGATTAGTATAGATGTTAACAATGGACTACTCTGATTTATACCTGATAATGACTCAAATAATGGTAATAAAACATTGCCTTTTGAAGTGGTAGGTGTATCTAAAAAAATCCAAAATAAAGTTTTAATAAATGGTTTAACTATATTAAAAATAATTACCTTTTAAGACACCAGTTTTATGAACAGGTTTTTCCTCTGTTTCCATGATGTTAAATTTGGTGGGAACTGCTGTGGCCAATAACCTCCTTGTGTGCTGATCTCTGTACATTTTACCTGAAAAATGCAAATCACATACAGAAAAATTATTATGTAGATGTTCGACAGGTTTGTTTTGCAAATCTAATCTATCACACGCCTCCAACCACCGAGTTGCTCTGAAAATAATATTAATATGTTTAATTGCAAGAAAAAAATAATAATAAAACTTGTTTACCGTTCTGGATTTTTTGGTACATGAAAAAAGCTGATACCTTCACTCACTTTTGATCTACAACCCTTCACCATACAACTAGGATGCGACCCTTTTTTATCCATTGCTACTTATTGTTGCTATAAAACACAAAATATACTAAACTATGTCGAAATAGTATTCTAAATAGCTAATGGAAAATTAAATTACTAAAAATAAAATACTAAATAATGTTAATAATATCAATACAAACTATGTTAAGAACGAAAAATAACACTACTCTACGAACAAGACAAAATAAGGTATAATTTAAGAATAGACATCAAGCTTAAAAATCGCCAATTTTTTTTTTACCCGTGTGAAATCGCTCAAATAAGCCGTTAAAAATAAAAAAAAAGTGCGGAAAAGTGAAAAACGGACCGAAAAATGAGTTTGAAATTTCTATGTGACGTCACGTTTTCTGACGTCATCAACCATGCTCTACTCGTATATTTACGCAGCACCACTGGTAATTCCAATCGTTTCTTTGTTTTTCACAACCAATCACATTACATTTATTCCATAAAATTGGAAATTTAATAATTTAAACAAAAATTAAAGAATTAACAGTTTCTTAAAACGCATTTCGAGTTAAATAACCTTGTATCTTAGGTATACGACACAACGATTGAAATGTCTTTTCTTACGTTCTACCTGAAACCCCGTCCTCCAACCCCCTTTTTACGTTACATTCGGATCCACATAATTTACTACTTTATATCAGTATTAATTTTATTGATAAATTTGATTTTTTAGCAGAGGGTGGGTCAAATATTGGTATGGTCTTGTTGAAAAAAAACGTTACATTCGGATCCACATAATTTACTAATTTATATCAGTATTAATTTTATTATAGATTTGATTTTTTAGCAGCGGGTGGGTCAAATATTGGTATGGTCTTGTTGAAAAAAAACGTTACATTTGGATCCACCTAATATACTGATTATTTTGCGAATTTTGTGTAGAAATTAGATTTTGAGTTAGGTTAATTAACATTTAAACTAGTGCGCAATCCCGAAATGTCGGGTCGGGTTCGAAGCAGGGGTAAAAACACAGATCTACACGAGCAGGTAGATGGTAAATAAAGACGTTTAGTCATTATGGGTCAAGAACCAAAATAACATGGGTATATCACCCCAAAATATGCGTTATAATACTAAAAGTTGTTAATTCTTTCATTAAATTTGAGAAAATGTTTTAATTTTTACTTCCTTATTCGTGTTGTGTGCGTGGATCTGGAAAAATAATTTTCTCGGACCTGGGTTATCCATACAATTGTGTTAAATACGTCGTAAGTAAGCTTCGTGACGTCACATTTTGTGACGTCACATCGAAATTTCAAACTCATTTTTCGGTCATTTTTTCACTTTTCCGCACTTTCTTTTTATTTTTAACGTGTTTTTTAGGCATTTTTACGTCGGTTAAAAAAAAAATCGACGCTTTTTAAGCCTGATGTCTATTCTTAAATTTTTCCCAAAATAACAACAATAAACTAATAACGCTAAGATAAACGCAGCTAAAATCGCAAATGAATACACCAAAATAATCGCACAGGTTGTAAGAATAAGCGTTAAAGCAAATGTGAGGTTGTTTTGGTTATTTTAAAATAACCGTTGGTTATTGTGAAGCCCTATTCTTATTGGATAATTTACCACCAATAGCAGCAATAGCACTATAATATGGCGTCAGATTTGGCGGGATACCGCTAGTGTCACTTCCGCTTCCGTCACTTCTGGTTATTCTGTGCAGTCTGAAAGTGAAAAAAATGAAAGTGTATGTCAATTACGAAGTGATATTTAATATGTTTAAACATAAAATCCCCATTACGGCTGCAATATGTGATCTTGGAACTGTAAATGTAAAAGCTTTTAAAGACCTAGGATCAAGAATTTCGACTCCATTTTCAATTTATGAAGGGAAGACTATTCACAGTATCTTTGATATACCGCAGCACACGAAATTTATTCAAAAAATACAATGTACAGTTACCATCATTACAAGTACTCCCCTCAATGTTATCAGATGAAGAAGGTTTGCAAGCTAGATAGTCTGATATCCAAAAAGCGTACGAAGTAGACACTGATACACCTCTAGTTTTTTGAAGCCTTTACAAATTAAAAGATTATTACTTTTCATCTTTACAGCACAATGCTATGGAAGTTAAAATTGCAGCATAGACACTCAACAGAAACAGTTCAATATATATTTACCAGTTAATAAAAGCAAAAAGGTAACATTATAGAATAATGTGACACATTTTATTACTTGTTTGTTTGTTTCAGACATACTTCCAGCATGAGCAATGGCAACTGTTGTAGATATAGACAACAATATAAACACTTAAGTTAGAGACATTGACATAAGTATGTTAAGGGAGTTTTAGAGGTTATGTTATAAAATAAATGGTCAAAATGACTAGGTGTTTTATTTAACCAGAATAGAGCAAAGTGCACAGAAACTACCAACTCAGTTAGGATGGCTACACATCTTAAAAGGATTTAGCAACATTTGGAAAGATTTACAATCTGCCAGTCTTGAATCATTTCGTCAAAAGTACCTAAACCAAGATGTGCTACAAAATTTCTTTGGTTCCATCAGATCCAGTTGTGGATGTAACGAAAATCCTACTGTAACTCAGCTCATAGGCGCATGTAAAACACAAGTAGGGAATGATTTGGCCAAAGGAAATTTAAAAGGAACTAATTTGCGAGGAAGGCTTGTCTCTGGAGCTTTTGAGTAATTTTAAAGAATTTTTAGAAATACCAACACCACAGACAATTACAGAAGAAGAACCTACAACAAGGTCCTTGCCAGAAGTATTAACTTCAAATGACATTCAAGATTTAATTTCTTCTAGAAGTGACCATTCATTATCAGTTGCATACGTGTCAGGATATACTATTGTGAAGCGAATTTTCAAAATCCTTTAATTGCCATGTGTGCATGTCTATTTTGACTTGTAACCATTTAATGTTTTTATTTTATCCATCTGAATCTTCAGTAGTTACAGTAGGTCTTGCAATCACAGAAGTACATACAGGAAATGCAAAAACATAACGAATATTTGTAAGGAATAAGTTTCTACATACATAAATTTAATTTTATTAGTATAAGTTTAATTTTTATGTTCCGCTTTGTCTTATTTATGGTCTTGATCGCTCTGTTATAATTTATTCTGATCACTTAAATATTGTTCCTTTTCACTTTGTTACAATTCTGGTCTTGATAGCTCTGTTATAATTTATTCTGCTCGATTAAATATTGTTCCTATACGTTTTGTCTTAATTCTGATGAATTTTGTTAGGTTTGTTATTGTTTCGCTCACTTTAATTTAAGATTAACTTTAAGTTATAGTAATAATAATAAAGCATTAATTAATTTTCAAATATTTTTGCACTCTAATTGATACGAACAGAAACAAATAAAAAGACATATTAAAGTTTTATATCAGTTGTTAGTTTGGAAATAATAATTATTTTATAAAATAATAATTATTTGCAATACACAAATCGCGTATTGTAATACCAATACTGTGATGTTGGTTGTATACAGTGTGTTAATTAATTATCGTACCTGACGTTATCATTGCAAGTATGCAACCAATATCACAGTACAATATGTAAATCGCGTATTGAAATACAAATATTGTGATATTGGTTGCATATTTGCATGATGACGTCGGGTACGACAATTAATTAACACACTCTACTTACAATGATGACGGTGGGTACGATAATTAATTAACACACTGTACATAGATTTGTTCTTGTGAAGTTTGCATTTTTATTTAATAATACTTTATTAGTTTTTTTTTCATAACAAGTTCCAAAGAATCGATGTTTTCATCTTAAAACTTGTACAAGTTTTGAGATGAAAATTGATTTTTTGGAACTTATTAAAAAAAATTTAAAGAGTAATAACATTTATGTTTAAACGTGCATTCAAATTCCCGCGCGTTTTTCTACATAGAATCAATTCTGTAGAGTTGAGATAGAATATACAAGTCTAAACGTGTCTAAACGAGAGCGGTAGAGTTAAGCATCTGATAATCTGTGCGTTAAAGCAAATGTGAGGTTATTTTAAAATATCCGTTGGTTATTTACTGTATTTGTTTGTGAAACCCTTTTGTTCTTTTTGGATAATTTACCACCAATAGCAGCAATACCTCACTATAATATGGCGTCAGATTTGGCGGGATACCGCCAGTGTCACTTCTGGTTATTCACAAGTTTTATAACTTTGGTCTTCACAAGTTTTGATAAATTTTCAAGTGATTTTCTCAAGAACTGCAAATCAAGGTTCAGTTGAAAATTTTTTTGCAAAAGTTAGAATGGTGGGTTGCAATAGTACTAATCCAACTCTGACATATTTTATATTTTATGGATGGATGTGTATCAGAGTAGATTGCTACATGAAATGTCGTCTGCTCAATCCATTGGAAAAAACTGTGAAGATGACAATTTTGAGATATTTCTAACTTTAAAAAGATTTATTACACAGGTAATATTTGAATTTTTTCTTATAATATAAAGTTCTGAAGTAAAACTAGAAGTAACACTACAACTATCACTAGAACTAACAGTAATGATTGCAGTGATTTATATTCTTGGGAAGATTATTATTATATAGTTTAACAAACTTGTTTTGAGAGCTATTTTCAAATAACAATTTATGTGCCAGCAGTGGCAAACTATTTGTTCGCGTGTGATAATTTTTTGTAGAAGTACTGAAAAGATAAATGTGTTTTTTTTTTATAAAAATCACAGCTTTTAGAACGTAAATAGAGGGGCAGGTTAAGAGATCCTGCTCCTTAAAGAGAGTCCTGACCAAACTCAATGATACTTCTAGTTTTAGTTCAGTTAAGTTTGGCTGTGAAATGCATTGTAATTATAATATAAACTTCGTTAATTATTTTTTAGTCGCCACAATTTCAGGAAAGTTATTTTTTAGTCGCCACAATCTCACGAAACTCTGAGTGATGAAACATTTTCAATAAATATTTAGAATACCATGCAGCCAAAAAAGCAATTATTGCTTATGCTAAGTGCATTAACAGAATGTATTTTACATACATTTATTTTTTTTGAATTTAATGCACAATCCATTGACGACTACAAGTTCTTGTTAAAGAAAGAGTATGATGCAAAAAGAAAATGGTTTATGCTAGAAAAATTTCTATTTATATAAGTTATTTAGATAAATTATAATAATCAGTTAGATAATAAAAAAAATCAGTTCGACTGCTTTATTAAACATGTAATTCCCTACAAATTTTTCCTTTACACATTTTTCCTAAAATCAATAATAGCGGAGCCATAGGTATCTAACGATATAACAAAAAACGGTTTTTTCGAGATATCTACTTAGCCATGAATTTTATCCAAAAAACAAAAAGCTCATTAAATTCAGTTCATGAAACTGCAATTCTTTCCCTATTTAATCGTCTCTCTATCTCCGCTAGTTTTCAAGATCTCTATACTAAACATGGAAAAAACTCACCTGTATATTATTATATTATATATACAGGTGTTTCTAAATTGATGGGAAAGATTTCAAGGGCGTGATTTTTCAGCAAAAATTAAGAAGTGTTTCATATTAAAACTTTTTGTTCAAAACACTTTCTCTTCCAAGTTACAGCCCTTTAAAGTAACTATGGAAGGATTTAGAAGAATGAAATTGGGCAGATAACTTGCTAATAAAATGACACTTTTTGACGATTTTTGTAACCCTAAAATGTTATTACAAGTGTGTGAAAAAATCAACCCCTATAATATTTAGCATTAGAACTGTTTAATGCGTCTCCAATTCTTCATTTAAAAACTTGATTTAAATATAGGAATCCAATCTGCAACTTTTTTGTCTCTTAAAATTGTTAATTTGATCACAACAAATTTTCTCAAATTTCTAGAGAGTTTTGGTGTATTCCTAATAGCTTCACATGATGCGATGATACGATTCCATAAATCATTGATATTTTCAACAGGACTTGAATAAACCACTGTTTTAAGAAAACCCAAAATACAAAAATCTAATGGATTTAATTCTGGAGATCTGGCTGGCCAATTCTGAGGACCACCTCGAATCCAACGATTTGTATAAACTTCGTCTAACAATAAGTAGCAACGAGCGTTAATATTAAAACGCGCCATCATGCGTGAACCATAATTTTCACCTAATTTGTATTGGAACATCATTAAGAAGCTGGGACGCCTGGGACTCCTCGAAGAGGAGTTCTTCAAGAAAATAACAGTATGCGTCTCTATTTAATCTCATAGGAAGAAAATATGGTCCAATTAAATAATTGTCAATGATACCAAGCTACACATTTAATGAAAATTGGATTCAACAATTTTATGTGGATTTTCTTCAGCACATATGTGTTTGTTATGGAAATTTCTAATGGATTATTTTGAAAAATTCGCCATATCAGTAATAACAAATAATACGTTATCATCAGTACGTGTTTAATGGTTTTTAGTCAAGCTGAGTGTTTTATATTCTCAAGTGTTTTTATTATAACGAAATTTGTGTTCAAGTTTATGTTAAGTGTTATTTCAACTTTAAAGCAGTTTTATTTAATAAAACCAAGGAAACATTTCTAAAACCAAAAAACATTTTATTAGCCTACAATGGAAAACAACACGGCGTTTAGGACTGATTTGTTGGGATGAAAACCAACAGCGGACGAAGTTGAGGAGTTGGCAAAGTATAATGTGGATTGTGCAAAGGCCTATATTTCTTTTGTCGTAGACCATCCTAACACATGTCTTTTATTTTCCTAGATTAAAGCATGTATTATGTTATACGTACACCTGTTAATAAGAACCTTTGATATGAGAACTGGTCAGAGATTGGATAAGCTGTTGGAAAATTTCTTTGGATATGGATATAAAACTGAAGTAGATATGAAAGACATAAATAGGAAATTGAAGCATAAGAATAAATCCGAGTTGGACGAGTGTATACTGTTGAGGCGAATTTTATATACATGTTTTGTCAGTCTAAATTAATGTAGCCAAATATTAATAAAAATATGGGTAATTTATCAACTAATCAAAGAAACCAAAAGAAAGCGAATAATACAATTGCGACAGGTAATTCAACAAAAATGAAATTTTCATTCAATTGATATAATTGTGGAAGACGTGGCCACAAAGCATCGAAATGCAAAAATAAGAAGAAAGCCGCAAAGAATAATGAGAACAATAAAGCTGGAAATGTAGTTGATTTTTCTATGCTTCTATGCTTTTTCTGTACAATAAATGCTAATTCGCGGACAACATATGATGTAAAATAAAGCGAATTTTGCAACATGCGTTCCACTCAAGATTCCGATAGCAATGTCAGGAATAAGTGCACAAGAATTGCTTGCCCGTGGTGTTGGAAAAATTAAGCTGGAAGCAAAAATTGGATTCTATGTACCAGATTTTTGTAGAAATGTGTTTTCAACGCCTGAATAGAGAAAGAGGGGCTGTGCTGCACACTTTTTAGCAAATGGCACGTGCTTAGCAACACGAGATGGAAAAATACAATTGGTTGGGAAAGCAATAACCAACGGATTAACAGTATGAGATGTAACAATTCAGAAACCGATAGAACCAGTAGCAGTTAACATGGCATTTGCGAATGAGTTGTTGCATGAACGACTGGCACGTCAGAATAAAAGGTATGTGGTAAAATTTTTAGAAAGATGGAATTAAAGTGGCTGTAAAAGAATAATTCTGTATTTGATGCATTAAAGAAAAAATGCATAGGAAGCATTTCGGTTTAAGGACTGTTCGAGCAACAAAACCAGGAAACAATTAAATGCAGACCTGATCGGACCTATGCCTGCAGACTCATTGGGTGGTTCGAAGTATGCTTTGATTTTAAAGGATGATTATACAAAATTATTATATATATTTAGGTGATTGTTCTGCTTAAAAGCAAAATGCCAAACTAAAAAAGCCGTCTATATGGACGCATGGCTAAACCCGAAACTTTCTAGTTCTAGTGTTAGTTTTAGCTTTAATTGTTGATGCCAAGAACTAGAATCATGCGGGTGTAGCTGTCTTGAGAGTCGTACGGCTAAAACCAAATGTTTCTAGGTCTAATGTTAGTTCTAGTGACAGTACAAGTGTAAAACTAGAACTAACACTATAGCTAGAACTAGAATCATTCGGATTTAGTCATCTTTAGAGACGTGCGGCTAAACCCAAATAATTCTAGGTATAGTGTTACTTCTACATGCTAACATTGCCAGTGTAAAACTAGAACTAACACTAGACCTAGAACTAGAAACATTCAGGTTTAGCCGTGCGTTTGAAGCAAGAGCAGCGCCAGAGATTTGGCCGCTACAGGCGAAAATGGATTTGCCTAAATATAAATTTAAAAAATGTGTCCTTTCAAAAATGCACTTTGATTTATTTCTATTTATTTATTCAACAAGTTGCAAATTGCAAACTAACAAATATAAATTTATTAAAAATTTATTAAAATTCTTTTTGGATTTTCAAATCGACATAAAGATTTGGATACATAACAATTAAATTGTTGTTTAAAATATATTTCAAAACTTTACCTGTGTTTAAAAGTTTTGAAATAATACTCAACTCTTCCACCAGCTGAATGCCATCGATGTATTTTCTATTGTTATGTGTAAGAAATTCATACTTTGCTTTATGACGTCCTCTTTTTCCCAAATTCTCAGGTCGGCAAGATTGTGCAAGAATCCGAATGTATGTTGAAAACATACATTTTAAGTAAATTAAAATATACATCAACTTTAAATGTTTGTGACGGATCTTGTATTGGGTTGTCAAAAGCTTCATTATTGAAAATGCGTTCTGATTTTTGTAAAGTTTGGTTGTACGTTTATTGAAGTTGCAGAATTTGAAGTTCAGACGCTATAACTAGCAATTTTTGATACTCTTCGTCACTTCCTAGTTTTTTTAGATTATTTGCAAGCTGTTCAATTGTTTCAACTGTTGCACAAACCCTACACTTTGGGCTTTGTAGCAGAAGATTTACTCTGTTAACATCTAAAAGTACATTGCATACATGGCTATTTATGCCAAATTATTGTAATGCATATGGCCTGATAATTTACCTTCTCTAATATATTGCTAGCGTCTACTTTAGTATTATTTCCATGAGAACCCAGCAAAGACGTGTCTTCTACAATACCAAAAAGAGACGGGACAAAAATCTAACGGGTCTGATCGCATTTATCCTACTTTCCCATCTCGTGGAACATACAGGTTTTAATGTTAAATTGGTCAGATGTTCGACAAGAATGGACCATCTATAAGTGGATGCAGAAAAAGAATTATACAAGCTTTGTATTATTCCAAAAAAATTGACCATTTCTATGTTTGATTCTGCAGCATCATTTAAAACAAGATTAATAGAGTGACAGGAGCAAGGAACAAATAATAAATTCTTTTAATTATTTTATTTTCAAAATACGTTCACAAAAATACGCTTCCTTTCTTCCTTAATAAATCTAAAAAATAATACTATCTAAAATATTATGTTACCTTAGTTAAAAAATACATAATCTAACATTAAGAAGTAATTAAAAAAATCTCGATCCCTTTGGCTTTTGATTTACGAATTTTAAAAAGGCACTACAATTACAGATCCATTTACTCTTAAAAAAATAGGTACCTCTTCAGATAATCCTCTCATAGGAACCTTATCTCCTTTTCTCTCTATAAGTACTTCAAAAAATACACAATAAAGTGCATCTCATAATAAAAAGTACATAATAAAGTACAGAATTTTCTCGATCACAGACAATAACAATAAAAAAAAAATATTTGCTTAAAAAAATCTCATTATTTATAATTAATCTCTTCGTTTTTTTTTTAATAAAATATTTTTGTTAATATTCTTGTTTATTTATTATTCGGGAAGACCATATTTTCTATCATAACTATTTCTTGCAACTTTTTCGAGCTTTGATTTTTGAGCTTTCCCTGCCTGAGCAACCATTTTATGGAATTTCCCATCAGGTATTTGTAATAACTTATATGGATGATCATATTCTACCATTCTCCCGCTTTCCATTACCAATACTTTGTCAGAATCCATAATCGTGTCTAATCGATGAGCTACAGTTAATACTGTACAGTCAGCAAATTTTTGTCGAATTGTTTTTTGAATAACAGCATCAGTTCTAAAAACGAAAATATTTAATAAAATAAATAAATAATATTTTAATATTACTTACTGTGGGTCAACATTTGCTGTTGCTTCATCCAACATTAATATTTTATTTTTTCGAACAATCGCCCTTGCTAAACAAATTAATTGACGTTGCCCAACACTGTAATTTTTTCCACGATCCATAACTCGATTTTCTAATTTATTGATTATATTCTCAGGATCTTTAAGTTCAACTTCATTGAGGGCTTTATACAAGATTTGATCACTGTATTCCTCAAACGGATCTAAATTATAACGCAAAGTACCCGAAAATAAAACTGGATCTTGAGGGATAATAGAAATTTTTGATCTTAAAAGTTGCAGATTTAGCTCGGCCGTATTTATATTATCAATATGAATTTCTCCTTCGATCGAAGCCAATCGGAATAAAGCGGCGATTAACGATGATTTTCCAGCACCAGTTCTTCCAACAATTCCAACCTTTTCTTTTGGTTCAACAACGATATCTAAATTTCTTAAAACCAACGGAGAATCATCAGAATATCGTAATCCCATATCATTAAACACAAGTTTTCCATCATCAGGCCATTCTAAAGGTGGTTTTCTTGGCACCATAGGTTGTTGTTCTTCTGGTAGAGAACTATATTCTAAAAGTCTTTCGACTGACATCAATTGATTTGCGACTTCCGCTGATTGACGCATTCCCCATTGTACTAAACCCGTTAATGCTGTTGCTTGTGTTATTGCTAAACCAACATCACCACCATATAATCCTAAAAATAATTAATAAAAGAATCGTTTAAAAATAAATGTAGTATTAAGTTATAAAGAAGCTGTAGATTTAAAATTTGAAATAGATTCATGATATTACAGTTAAGCACTTAAAGTTTGAACAACCTCTGATTATAACTTAATCATAACTCCTGATATTTTTCTGCAAAGGTACAGCCTCAGTTTGGAAGGTGAATATTTAATCCGAAATTAGAAAATTACTTGCCAAAATCAAATCCGTATAGAAATGTTTGTAACCATACCATAAAATATAGCCTAAAGGCTACAACTTAAAAGATCGTCGGTGATGATAAATGTTGCAAATATAATACATAGATACTTCTTATGTATTATATACTTGAAAGATCGATACCGACTCTGTGTATCTTATATCGTATTGGTTCATTACTTATTACCATACATTTAGTTTTTTGTTTTGATATCTGCATTTTATATCGTTTGGCACTAATGTTAATTTGATGGACTAATCGTTGCAAATCATCCTTTTTATATCGTGGATCAAGAATAGTAGCTTTTGCTGCTGTTTTATTAATCTCATAAACCCCAAGTCGCGTCTTTATTATAACAGAAAAAGTTCTTTGTAAGTGCTTGCCTGTCTGTGTCACTGCAGTTTTGCTATTTATGGTATATCGTAGACCGAATACAAGAGCTATAACAGATGATAGCGATGGATACTTTTTCCAGGATAAAATTGCAGTTACCTTTCCAAACGGATGTAAGAACGCCACTATGTCTTCAGCAAAAAACTACTCTGCAGAATCCTGATTCGGTGGAGGTGATACCAGTGTCGGTAAAGTAGCAGAAAACGGAACCTTGAGCTTTAATAGCCGTTCGAGCATATGAGAAGTATTTGCTTCTGCATGAGGACCAAAGCATAAGAAGATTTTGTGCTAAGTTTAAAATGTGAAACAATCGCTCGGCATTTATTTATTTATTACTTGCACTAACTGATTATTATTAGCGGTAGTATCTCCTAAATCAATTCCATCTTTTTCTATACCATCTTTCACAGCAAGATTAAGACACAACTGATTTTGCTTATTTAAAATTTCGCTAACTGCTTTCTTCATTGAAGCATTGTCTGTAACTATACTCACTATTTTAGAACTTATCTGCCACTCGTCCAATATTTGTGGAATACCATTAGAAATAGCTATTGATTGCAATTTTGTTTCTTCTATAAAATGGGCGGTCACACTAATGAAACATTTATTACTGCCTGACGTCCAAATATCTGATATCAAAGCAATATGTTCAACGTCCTGCAATTATTCCTTACGAGTTGTAGACTCAATGTTATACTTTTCTTCCAACATCTGAGCCAATTTTTTCCTTGAAGGCAGTTCATAATCGGTATTTAATATTTTGGTGTATTTGCGCAAACCTTTATTTTCGACAATCCTGAACTATCATTTGAATCAACGCATCAACTCCAGATTTCTGCAGAAAGAAATTTTTTTGCAGAAAATGGTACGGTTAAGCGAGTTTGCTTGAATCGTTTTATTGGAGGTTCAACATCAAGAAATGAAGAAGAAGCCGGTGGTAGCGACAAAGGCGGTTCGATTAAAATGTTTTTTTCAGTTTGATTTAAGGACGATGTTGAACCGCAGGCACCGCATCACTGGTGGTCGCGCAAAGTGTAAACGTAACTCGAGTTAGGTAGTTAGTAGTAACAGTCTAACTCGAATTGACTTGAAATAACCTCAACTCTTTGATGAATCGAGTTGACCGATCTCTAATCAGTACCACGTATACTTTGCAACAATAGAACAGGTGATGTGCTTCAAATACTTGTATGTTGAGCTAAGGAGTAACCAGAATATCGTCAAAGAAACAAGAAATCTTGCTTTGAGAGCAAAACAAATGGCAAGGTGCTTGAAAGTTACAGTCTGGAGAAATAAATATATGAGAACATGGTGTTGGGTTCGCTCTTTTTTTGTAGTAGAAAAATAGGTAATGATGCTGGTTACATCAAGGCATTGATTTTATTTCGATTAACACATTTTACAATAGAACTTGTTGTATTACTTCGAGAGTATATTGACGACATTGTTCATTAACTTCCTTTTTATCATTTTTCTTGAGGAATTAGAAGGAGCATTGGCTGGTATATGACAAAGAAACTAATAGGAAGAAGACCAGCAGGATGAAAACCTGAAAAAAAAAGACATGGACAGATAGATAGTCCCTATCTATAGACCCTGTTTGAACGAACAAGAAGAAAAAGATAGATCGACACCATTAAAGATAATTTCAAACTAATTTAAAAAATAACACATTTTATCTTCTACATATCATGAATATACAAGTTTATAAATACAACACTGCGTATTTATACCATTGCTTTCACCTGACATCTTGAGAAAATATGAAGATAAATTAGAGTTCAAGACGTCGATCAACCGTGTCGCATATCCTATCGAGATGTACGAAAAAAAATCGAAGTTTCAAATAGCCCATGCAATTCAAGCGGATTGCACATGGTAAATCGTTGTTTATGTTAATTCATAATCAAATATTCTCAAAGACGACTGATCGGTGAAGTAATCTTTTCAAAACGTGGTATTTACGAAACACGCTGGAATCTCTTTTGAATTCTAAATTTAGATTTATTAGCTGAATCTTATACATTAAGCAGCATTAAAAGCAATGGTTTTTTTTCGAGTAATGTGTTTTTGAAAACAGAGAGAGACAAGCGTTTAAAACATAACACATAACAAGCTTTCACGAATCATCACAAGATTTTGCAAATTCAAAAGCATATTGTGTTTTTAACACAGTATGAAATAAATAAAGCTTTAATGCTTTGGGTTTGAGAATGCCAACAGCTATTATTTAAAAAAAAAAGTCATCATCGATACATTCAGATAGCTTTTCCTAGATTCTCACAACTGAAATAGGATGAACCAAATGTATATTATTTTTATCTGGATGTACACCTCCTGCTTTTCTAATTGTTATTCCATGAGGCTAGAAAATTGAATCATGACTTGGACTACAAAGCCTGTCGACGGACTTTTAGTTTTACAAATGCAAATCATAACCAATTCCATATTCGAGAAAACTATTTTTGAACTCAGCAACAGCATTTCGCATTCAGCATTCAGGCATCTCTATGAATTCGTAAATCACATTGGCGCAATGCGATCCCACATTATCTGGGAACCCCGAAAACAATTGTCTACAAGATTCCTCAAAAGAATATGTATCCTCACCACATTGTTTTACATCAGGCTTTAACATATACCGATTATGATAACAGACTGAACTATTAGCATTCACAAATGCTATGGATGCATGAAGCATCGTTCAACAAGCTGGTGTAAACTTGCATAATATGCATTCTTGGTTCGAGCAAAACCCACATTGCTTTCACCTCTTTATCTATGGGGCAGACTAAACGACCTGACTTTTCAAGATAAACCAATAACCAGGGAAAATATGACAAAACACTAAATGCCATTAGAAACGTGTCCAAAGCTGAGACTTAAACAGCGCTTTTTTTCGTCGAAACTAGAATAAATAAATGCATCGAGGTTTATGGAAGGCATTTTGAACATTTATGAGCTACTTTTGCCAAAAATTTAAGTAATTCTAAGTGTTTTGGTTTTATCTAAGTGTTGTTTATTGTCATTGTTGATGTTTCATTGATCTGTTGGCTTTTAAACACGCCTCAAAAGTAGTTGCGAACCAGTTCTAAGCTTTAGCTTTAGCATAATGCTCTTTCAAACAAGACCAAAAATATTCAAATCGGTTGAATGGTCCAGGAGATATTAAAATGTAAACATTTGAAAACGTATTGGCCTTCCCCTGCCTTTTTATAACAGATATGATAAATATCGCAAAACAAAAGAGATGCGGTATTATCCAAGCTACTAAATGATGTTGTCAAAGTTATAGCTCATCGTCTAACTTTCTGAGATAGCGGGAATTTTATGTTTCTCTATGGCAGTTATGCCCTATAGCAGTCGAATTACGAACTTGAAAATAATTTCCAGGTATTTCTTTTGCCCACTTTGCCTAGAAGGATTTTTTTCCAAACCTCTAGGCCTTACCGTTGTCAAGATGCAGCCGCCGCTCCGTACCCTTAGCGGGACACCTGTATATAAGTTTCGTAGCAGTAGTAGATTAGGGTTGAAAAATGTTAGACTGTAATCTCCTCAAAAGGAGAGTCCATCAACGTATTGGCTTTCTTCACAATGTAACATGAAGCTTGCATGGGCTTATTTATTGCAATGCAATTTTGTGAGACAAAAATCCAAGTGTTATCAAATTGTTTTGACCTTTATCTATTTGTTTTTTTATGCTCTTTGTCGCTCTTCATCGTTAGTACATTTGTAAGAGTTTTTGGACTTTTGCTTTACTTATTTTATGTTGAAGTTATTCATATCAGTTTTCCTTGTAGTTGTTCCGTCAGCGTCGACGCGCCTTTCATGTTAACATATTTGTAAAAACATTATCTCCTCCTGTAACATATCCATGTTTGTATATTTTATGATGTATCTTGGGTTTCTTGACTGCACTTCCGGCTACTTAATGTTATCAATTTTTGTTAATTAGAATTTTATCAGGTTGAAATCGATTGGAAACAACACTCCAGTTTTTAATCTTCTAAGTATCTTTTCCATTTGTGGGTATCATGTCGATGTTTGATATTGCTCCTCCGTTACATACATTAGTGATAATTACAGTACATTGGTGATATTCCAGATAGGTTTCCCACCTTACGATTTTATGTTCATCCTTTTTTATTCCTTGTTAGACCTGATTTCATTTTAATATCCTTGATTAGCATAGTGGGGATTTTATTATTCAGAAGTTATTTGCCTAGATGTATCTGTATTTTGTTTTCATATTACTAACATGGTTTAAAGGTAATCAACCTTTGATAGTAATTCGCTACATATACAAATGAAATTAGTATACACTACTCTGTTAAGTTGTTAAATATACAAAATACTTTAACAAAACATTATACCCCACATTAAGAGACAGTCACAATCATATTACATAAAAATGCTTCCGTTTAGACGAATTGATTCAAATATAGTATAATACATAACACATTTGAATCATTTATGTCAGCTTAAAGAGCTCATTTATTTAAAAAAAAATTTGGTATGCTTTCAATTTCATTTGCATACAGTGCCGTCATCAATATTTATCAGTGCTTTGTAAGTAGCGATACAAAACGTGTAGATATCAATCTTGAAAGACACGTGGACAATAATGTAAATTGTCAGAAATATAATGCATCACCTTAGTGTTGAGTACTGCATACATCGAAATATTAGGACGGCATTAATTACACTTTGCAAAGCATTATTTGTTAAAATTCCTTCATCACATTCTTGTATTTAAAGGAAAACTTACAAATATCCTGTATAAATTAAATACCATAGAACATTAACTCAAGCTAGTGTGTACAAACCTTTGTATCACTCTTTATTTTAACTGGTTAAACCGCATATCAACACGAAACAGATGTACAAAAATTTCCAACTATTACCGTTTGATGTAGTTGATTATGTACATGATTATGAAAAGTAGACCTTTATATTCATACAAAACACTGCGAAATCATGCGGAACACTTATAAGTTTTACCTATAATAATAGATCCGACAGGAAATGATGACAACAAGAAAAACTGAATTTAGTAACCATTAAAGGTCATTCTCCTTAGTGTTTTGCGGTGCGCAGCAACATGCGGGGTTCGCAAGACATAATTCTGCCGCGCGCAAGTTTTGACATACCAAAAAATGATTGCGCGGCAGTGTTAAGCGGCATATTGGCAGAATCGCTCAAATGTTGGACATTTTAGCACCAACATTTTGGGAGTCGCAAAGTCTATCAAAAAAAGACATCAACATTACATTTATGGTTAGAGGTTGAGGATAAATATTTGACACAACCTATAATTACATCAAAAAGTTTCAATTTTTTGGACATCAAGACAATGTAATGGTGACTTTTTGTATGGTCAACTGTAATATCGCAAAATCTTAATCCTTAGCAAATTCAAATTAATTTCAAATGTACCAAAGTAAGTATTAAATAACCTGGATTTACCTTCTGCTAAAGTTAAGAAACTGAACGTAACCAAAGCAGTGAATAAGAAACAAAGACAATCCAAATAAAAACCAAATGCTGAACTGGCCGAAATGTACATGAACCAAGCGCTTGTGTGTAAATCTTGGTGTTTATCGAATTCGTAACGAAGCGTGTCTTGGGCACCATTAGAACGGATAGTTGTTAAACCTTGTAAAGTTGCGTTAAGATGAGTGAAAACTGGACTCCTCACTTAAAAAAATAAAAAGAATATTAAGATGATAATCCAAATTTATTTAATAAACTTACTCATTCCTTCCAATCTTTTAATGTTCTTTGATGATCTCAAAAATACTACCCTCAGAAACATGAACACCACAGCTATTACAGCAACTGGTATCAAAAACATATAATTAACGATGGCTACTAACACTAAAGAACCAAACATTAATAAAATAATTTGTGCTGCATCCAAAATGACCTTTGGTAGTAATTCATCGACGGATCCAATGTCTTTCGAAAATCGATTTAAAATTCTTCCGCTCGGATTTAAATCAAAAAATCTCATGCTTGTGTAAATCACACTCATAAACATGTTATCGTGCAATTTTTGCGACGCTAACATGGCCAGTTTGTAAAATAACATCGATCTGGTTAATGCTATAACGAATAAACCGATTACTAATCCGGCGTAAATGTAAATGCACATATATGTCGATATTAACATGTTACTGGCTTCGACGTTTGTTGTTGTTAAATTTAGCTGCTTTCCGCTTCTGATTTCTTCAATGTTAACCCAATAGCCTACAAAGAAGTCAACACCGCTGGCGGCTGCTTGCGCAAGGATGTATAAAATAGCTACGAATGTTACGAAACAAATATTTCCTCCGGCTAATAAATAATGAAGACCCAGAGATCCTTTTACTTTTCCTCTCGAAGTGTCTTCTTGGTAATCTTTCGCATTGATTTTATCTTCTTCTTCTTGCATTAAACTATCGACGATACTTGATTCACTAGCAGCACTTGATAATGATAAAGTTTTACTCTAAAAATTAAAATTTATTGAAATTGATATGATGATAAATGTCGGTAAAGTAGATATTTTCATTTGATTTAAATTATGAATTTTAAAATAATTACTTACTCTGGTTGAGGTTTTCCTATGAATGTTAACACTTTCAACTAATTTTTCTTTTTCTTTTAACTTTTCTTCGTCAGAAAGAAGACTTTCGGGGTCTTGTGTTAAAATTTTGGCATAATGAAGGTCGGTATTTGCTAATTCTTGGAAACTTCCTTGAGCTACGATATTACCCTAAAGAAATAAAAATCGTTAAATGTTTTTAAAGAAAAATGATTACATAAACATTTAAAATCATAAATTTGACGTTTTAAATATCACTTTAAGGTTAATTTTAAATGACAAATTTTATGTTTTAAATGTCACTTTAAGGTTAATTTTAAATGACAAATTTGACGTTTTAAACATCAACATAACCTAAAAAAGTCACATTATTTCAAAATTAACCGTTTTTTGGCAATCAAAAAGCTTTTAAAAATAACTTACATCATCCAAAATAACAATGGTGACATCTTTAAGTCGATTAACTTGATGAGTAACCAAAATTCTCGTTTTATTCTTTAAATATCCGTTTATACAGTCTTGATATAGATGTTTGGCGACGTGAACATCAACGGCGGATAACGGATCATCTAAAAGATATATATCAGCATCTCTGTAGATGGCTCTCGCTAGATTTATTCTGGCTTTTTGGCCCCCGCTCAAAGAAGCGCCACGATCACCAACAATGGTTAAATCGCCATCAGGAAACTGTTTGAAGTCTTTCTCTAAAGCGCAAACTCTCACCACATCGTTGTAGCGATGTCTATCGTATTTTTGGCCAAAAACAATGTTTTGACGAATCGTTGCGGCGAAAACCCACGGTTCTTGTGATGCGTATGATATCGTTCCGTTTATTATGATGTTACCGGAAACAACGTGAAGTTCACCTAACATTGAGTGTAGTAACGAACTTTTCCCACTTCCAACGGGGCCAATTACTCCAATTAAACTTCCTTTTTCAACGCATAAATTCAAATTTGAAAGAGCGTGTTTTGAAGATTCAGGTGACCAAGAAGCTGTTAAATTTTTCAAATCAATCGCTGTGTTATTGTTAGATGAAGATGAGGTGTTTGTCGATTTGGTGGCGTCGATAAATTCGGCGTTTAACAAGAAATTTTGGAGACGTTTTATGGAAACGAAAAGTTCAGCCATTTCGGAGATTCCCCTCACAAACATCGCCGACATTGTTTGAGACATAATGTTGTAATAAGACATAACAACGAAAACCTAAAAATTGCTGTTAAAAAAAATAATTATATTATTATTTTTCTTACTTTGGCAGCTGTAATTTTTTGATCATAAAGTAAAACCATCGTAATTAAAGTACAAAAAAGTGCAACTCTCGTCGTAAACAAATTAAAAGTCATAAAAAGTCCTCGAACGTACGATAATTTCGTGATAATTTTTAGTTCCATTTTTCTCGCATGTTTGATTAAATTAGCAAACGGTAATTCCCAAGCGTACATTTTAATTACTTGGACACCGGAAATAATTTCGTCCATCAAACGAACTCGTTCGTCTGTTTTATAAGCCGTTTGCCGACGGAATCTCGATGATAATTTACCGGTATAACCTAAAAATTAAACTATCGTTAGTGAACGAGATTTAATAGATGGAGGTTGTAAAGTAAACAGACTTTGCAATGGAACGACCAGGAAGACAGGTATTATGCCAATTATCCCAGCGACTCCAGCCTCTACCCACAAGAAATAAGTAACGATGATGGCGCTTGTTGGTGCAACCCACATATGGTGGATGAAAACTGAGACTATATCAAACCTGCTGACGTCGTTAGAAAGGAGATTTACGATTTGGCCGGATGCAGTTTGTCCTAAAGCACTATTACTCAATCTTAAAGCCTACAAAAAAACATGAATTAAAATTTTTTTGATAGAATTTAAATTCGATTAATTATTAGTATACTAAAGCCTCGATATAACGGATCTAAATATAACGGATTTAAGTCATACGATTAATATTATCTATTTAATATATCAATTAGTGATGGAACGGATACATTTCTGAAGTGATACCCTATATTGCCACATTATTGCGATATTTGAATAAAAATGAAATTAATAAGAAAGCTGATAAGATATGTTTTTTTGATGCTGATATTTCCACAAGGATCCTTCAAGAAATTAATTGTATAGCGAATTTTGCAAATATTGTTTTCTGAAAAACTAAAAGTTATTTTTCAAAACGGGATGGTTCATTGGAAAGAGGACACTTTTATTAACACTTTGGGAAATGTTTATACTCATATTCCAAGAAATGGATTTTATACGAATTTTTAAAACTTAATCAGCGAAAATTGCAAAATTCGAAAAAATTGTTGATCATTTCAAAAATTTATTTCTCAAAAACTAAAAGCAATTTTTCAAAACGGCTTATTGCATTAAAAAGACGATACTTTAATTAATAATTGGTGATATTTCCACATGAATCCTTCAAGAAATTAATTTTATAGCGAATTTTGAAAATTATCGATTAAAATTGCAACATCGAAAATTTTATCAAAACTTCAAATATTGTTTTCTCAAAAACTAAAAGTTATTTTTCAAAACGGGTTGGTTCATTGGAAAGAGGACACTTTTATTAACACTTTGGGAAATTTTCATACTCATATTCCAAGAAGTGGATTTTATACGAATTTTTAAAACTTAATCGGCGAAAATTGCAAAATTCGAAAAATTTTTCGATCATTTCAAAAATTAATATTTCTCAAAAACTAAAAGCGATTTTTCAAAACGGCTTTTTGCGTTAAGAAGAGGATACTTTCATTAATAATCGAAAGTGATAACAGCGACAGTTCTGTTAGTAATGAATGTGATGATAAATTACAAGCGAAAAGAAGAAAACAAGACGAAACTGCAACAAGAGATTTTATATATCGTATTGGGATTGATACAATGAGGTTGCTAAAGACAAACTTGATATAAATAAAGTTGTATTAAATGAAAAAAGTCTTATTGGGGTTGACCTTGATTATTAGATGCAGTGTCCAACACCTAAAAGAGATACTAATTCCTGTGAATGGTGGAGTACTAAGTAATAGGTTTTTAATATCCGGCCAAAGCCGAATATTTGGTTGCCGGATATCCGTTCCACCACTAATATCAATATGTTTAAATAAAAATGTTAGCGCTCATAGATAGAATCCAACTAGGGTTAATCTCCAAGTTCTCTATTCTTAGTGATGTAAAAATAAAGTTTTTTTTTTCAAATTAAAGTTTTGAAATAACTAGTAGCAATATACAAATTCCAAGGAATTTAGAACTAAACGCACAACAAAGTAAACTATAGCTACAGCTGATGTGGATGAAAAGATGGTATTAACTGATCTTGTGAATTTTCAGACAAAGGATAGGTTGTTCGCTAAGCAGTTTTCGTGGGAAATTTCATTTGAGCTTTCACCTATTGCATAATGGACCAGTTTTTACAAAAATATAGAACTCTCAAAAGTAGCTGCAAATTTTCTTCAGCTACGAGCAACATCAGCGGCGTGCAAAAGAAGCTTTAGTACTTATGGGGGATTGCATATGTCTAATAGGCACCATACACCTGCAAACAAATTGCGCAAATTGACGTTGGACAATAGGTTATTGTGCAAAAAAAGTCACAAACCCCATACACAATGCATCGATTGTGCAACGAATGGGGTTGCGCAACTAATTTCAAACAATTTTGAATTTCTGCAACCAGTTGCGCAACACATCAACCAACACCATACACTACACAATTTGCGCAAAACAGCGATTGTTGCACAATTTGTTTGGCGTATGGGGACTATAAGCAAAATAAATTATTAAACCAAAGAGTAGAATTAACCTGCAAATAAAATCCGAAACTGTAAAGAGAGACATATGCCCAAATAATAATATAGTACTAATATTGTTGATATTGTAAGTACAGCTCCCCTTGAAATCATCAATACCGACTTGGAAATACTTAGGTACTTACACAAATATTACAGCTAGAGTTAACATGGATGTAGATCATTTATATTACAATTATGATAATTATTTGTCAGGTACTTCTGATGAATTTTCTGTACATGACACTGACATGTCGGAAGGACCTGAAGAATTTGACGTAAATTCTGCTTATTCTGATTCCAATTAAAAAAAAACACTACATTTTTCAGTTTCAAGTTTATTAATATAGAGCCTCTATTAACCTTAGCGTTACCAACGCGGGTATGAAAGGACGCCCATGTGTTCTTTCTTAGGAATAAAATATTGAAAAAAGCAAAATTTATTAATTTGGCTGTAATGTAATCGTAAAATAATGCTTACTGAACGTGTTTCAATAAAAAAAAGTGTCATAATCGACACATATCAAAATGAATTATGCGCACAGATAGGAAAAATGTAGTTTTCAGAAAAAGACGTTTAAAGTTGACAGGAACATAACGAGTCGGCATCAACAGCGTTATGGATTCTCATTCTAGACAGTCTAAAATACACTTCAAACGAAAAAAACCAAAACGTATTTTGTTAATTTAAAAGGTGGCATACCCGCCTAACAAATAACAATGTATCTTAAAAAACAAATTTCTGATGAGACTATCATAATCTACTGATCTTTGGTATTTTCAAAATGTAAGTATTGGAGAAGTAGCGACACTCCGTCGGTACATTTGATGGCAGTGTAACGTATTTTGAGGTTGGCATTTCCATAGAATACTAATAAACTGTTATACCACCCATCTTTACAATAAAACCAATATCACAATTAAAACATTATCGGTAATGGTTTAGTTTTAGAGCGTCAAAAATCATGGGAAAATTTAAAGGAATTTCATTCATAAACATCATTGCATTTTTATATTTTAATAGTAATTTAACCTTTGTTCATTCGTGGTCTACCAATCAAAGGAATTTTTTGCTGCCAAATCTACAACTTTGAAACACATAAAATTGGATAATACTGGATCCTTTTGCCCAGTCAATTGAAAACGCCGTATTCGTATGAATCATTGCTACTTAAACACTTATCAAACCTTAACTGTTAAAAGCCGCTCATATACTTGTTGGACCAGAAAGTAAACAAAAATATTCACAAATACAAGTAGTGGAGCTCGTGTAAGAATTTAAAGTTTTTCGCAATGCAGTAGGATGAGACTACGGATGTTGCACATTGTTGCACAGTTGATATAATGACAGCTATCTCTGAATTCTTTGATAAACATGAACTGTCCTGGCAAAAGTTGATACGGTTCGTACAGTTGATCAAAGAAAAAATCCGAATGTAACCGTTATTCATTGTTTTATACGTCATCAAGCTTTGGCGGCTAAAACACTTTCAAACTAATTCAACGATGTTTTAAAATTATGCATTAAAATTGTCAATTATGTTAAAAAAATGCGTTAAATAACCGACTTTTTACAGTCTTTGTGAAGATTTGGGCACAGAACATAAAACATTATAGTTGCGTTCGGAAGTGCGTTGGCTATCAAAAGAAAACATGTTAGCAAGATTATATGAGCTTCAAAATGAAGTAGTTTTGATTTTTATTTTTGAACTCTATGTTGAATTCAGAAAACCAATTGTCCTAGCAGTATTGGCTTATCTATAGGATATTTTCGATTCCTTGTATTTACTAAACTTGAAATTACAAGGTGCAGACTCGAACATTATTTATCATCCAGATGCTATCACTACGAATATTGAAAAATAGCAACTCTAGAAACTCAAAATTTTAGCATTAACAATTGTATTTCCTAAATTATTTTCAATTTCAAAAGGAGCAAGTTTTAACGAGGTTTTTGAGGACATTGATAATATGAATAATAAAATATCAAACCATTTGCAGCACCTCATCAATAAGGTGGCCAGGGATCCTATTATGTTAAAATAGATGAGTTACCAGAAATACTACAAGAGCAAGTTTTAGAAATTAAGATTGATTTTGCTGCCAAGTATGATTATGAGAAGATAGATAAGTCACTATTTTGGATAAAATATCTCAAAGTTTATCCCAACATAGCAGAGCAAGCGCCGCAACTGTATTTACTCTATTTCAGCACCTATTTGAGAGAAAGGGTGGATAGGAATAAATTTAATATTGCTAATGATCTACGTTGTGTGCTTTCTTCTATTCTACCTAAAATTGGAAATCTTGTCAAAAGTATGCAAGCTCATCCATCTTATTGATTGATTTGTTCTTAAGGCATGTGTGTGAAAACTGTATTCTATTGTAATATAACTTTTACAAAATAAGTATGTATGTTTTTTGTAGTTATATTATTATACCTATTACAAAATTACGACAAGGAGGGCGAGGTATTTTGATTTTAGGTAGTAGGGAGGCGTGATAAAAACAACTTTAGGAACCGTTAATCTATACGATGTATAAATCAAATACGGTAGTTATAACTTTAGTAATTATTCATCACTAGATTGTTGTATATTGTTAATGAACTAAAACTAATCGTAAGAGACGAAAGATTAAACCCGAATGTTTCTAGTTCTAGTGTTAGTTCTAATGCTAGTGTTAACTCTAGTTATAGTTGTTATTCAGCGCTAGATTGTTGTATATTTTTATGGAACTAAAAGTATAACTAACAAATAAAGAACGCAACGGTGTGGATAGCTGTTCGAATTTGTATGCATTAAAATTATTGATACAAATTTTTCATATAACCGACTTTTGGCTATAACAGATACTCCTTTCCCCATATTAATCCGTTATATCGAGGCTTTACTTATTTAAAAATAATGTTATCTCGAATATTTTAAAAGAAAAATTAATCAAAATATTTTACAGCAAAAAAAACTACTTACTTTTCTATAAATTAATGCGCAGCAAGCCGCTCGAACTTTCATTCCGTAATGAAAAGCTCCCATGATATACTGATTGATGAGAAGGGCGCTACCGGCATTTGAAAGGACTACGGCGCCCGCGTAAATAAGAGCTTGGTTTTTCGTCGTTGTCGTATCCGGCCGGAAGTAATCCAGTAAATTTCCGAGAAGCATCGGCTGTGCCAATCTTAATCCGAGATCCATAATTACCAACAGAAAACCTAAATAAAGGTATTCCGGCCAAAATGTTGCAACTAAAACTTTCAGTAAGCTGGGTTTCTTTGATACTTTTTTTATGGAGTCTAAATGTTTTAACCACTTCCTGAAAAGAAAAAAAAAGAAAAATTATTTTAATTAACAAACAAAATTACGGCAGATTTAATTAATTAATTGAATCTACGTCTTTAAGCCGAATTATATTAGGTATCAAAATATATCACCATGAAGCTAAATTGATTTAGGACCATTTTTATCATATTCCTGTTAAGGTAACAAATCATGTCGCAATGCACTTATAAATCACTGTGGGTAGTAGGTAAACACGCCTGACAATGGACAAATAGATTTATAGAAGTTATAGATTAAAGAGATTTATACGTTTCAAACAAGAAATCACCAAAGGGAAGGTTTTTTTTTTACTTATCAGATTGATTTCCGATTCGAAAAAATTTTTATGTCAAAGTCTTTATTCTTTCAGTAAACATAATTTCGATATAGGTTGGATAATATAGATTTAGGTATATAGGTAGACACCGTCGTTTTGTTTTACAATTTATTGAGTGCTGATGACTTAGACATCAAAACCATAGCTTAAAACCATAGATTAATTATTACATTATGATAGGATTCCAAGCCATCATGTAGCGATGTGAGCTTTCTATAGTCTCGTCTTACATTTCTAAGATCCGAATATGCACACCAAAAGAGAACCGCGCAGCAATGATAAAATTGTTGCAGTATGATAAATCTCAGATATTACTTTTTTGGAAAATATATAACTGGTAGAATTCAGAAAAAAGTGTGCATTTAGGATTTACATGAAATCAACACCTGCCCGATTAGAATGAAATTTTGTGCTTTGGTTGGTATCAAAAATAAACATTCCAAAAACTAGTAGCTGTATCTAGCAAAAGTGATACAAAACCTGAAAGGGAACAAATAAGGTGTGTAGCAATTAACTTAATTTCGTGTTCAGGTCGAGCTTGTGGTGGTTATACTAATAATTCTTTCATTCATGTAACTCTCACTGACAAGATGTGGAATTGAAGCCTAACGTACAGTATGCCAAAACTAAAAGGATATTCGAACAATAAAGCTTCCTGAAAAAATAGTATAAAATGTTCAATTTTTGCATTTATAAAAAGGAAGCACTTGAATACACAACACAATAATGATAAAATAAAGTAATCGAACAGCAAAACGATTTCAAACCAGACATTATTCAACAATCCAATTCGATAAAAGGTATATTAAATGGAAAAAGGTAAAAATCTATAAATGAACCTCAACACATTTCAATCAAATTGATACTAAATTAAATGAACCCAAAATTACAGTACTTTACATGACTGCTAACTTACGCTCACTGCATACATTTATTGCTGTGAATATTTAATACTGGGAGAATCACAATTAACATGCTAATTAAATATTGTATACGTATTCATGAGAGATTCAATGAAACTCGTTTTTCATTAATAGACTTAGTAGTTCGTCCGATAAACTGACATAATTTAAGGCTCTAAGGCAGTTTCTAAATACAAACTATAGTTGATTATGATGTTACTAAAAAGAACATATTTTTAGCTTTTCAATGATGTATCGATGCAAATGTCGAAAAGTCATGTACTGCAAAGAAATACTATAAGAATATGAACAATGATCAGAAACTAAATAATAGATATATTTGTCTTCAATTCAAGCTAAACTTAATTTAATTTATTTTTTAAAAAATATGGAAATAAGAGAACGATCAGAATAAATAAGAAAACTATCAACATAGGTGAGCTCAGAAAGAACCAAAAATTGTTTAATGTATTAGTAAACAATATAAAGTTTATTTATACTATAATTGTTTTGAAATGTTCCAATCGTAAAGTGATTTTTCATTTTAAATATACAAATAAAGCTGTTATTTGTTTATCTTATCTTTAGCTCCAATGTGAATATTACATGTTTCAAAATAAATATTAAAAATTAATGAATAAAATAAATGTTGTGAATTATAACAAAAATAAATCTCACTGCAGAAGCATTTTCGCTATATTAATTTCCAAGTGAATGGGTTAAGCTGAAAATGAATGTTTTTATAATATTGTCCGACAAAATTACTTCAGGTAACAATGTTATGGAAAGCAACATTAAGCAATGTTATATCTACAATATGCAGATGACACCTTTGTCACCTGGAAACATGTACAGCAATGGCTTTATGACTTCTGAAACCATTTAAACTACTTGTAATGATAAAATTCAAGATGGAGAAAGAAAAAAACTAGTAGGGTGCCCAACTACTGAGACCAAAAAAATGTTTGCCTAATTTCCGGCACTGAAGAAGAAGATTTTTTGAGGTTCCAGTTTGAAGTCCAGTGATTGTAGCACACCTTTCTTTGCATGCGGTGCGGCCACATATACACATATAATTTTAAACTTCACAATTTGTTTGTGTATTTAATAAAGTAAGCATTTCGCAGACAACAGAACTGTTTTGCCAGCCACTCACTTGTTTGTTAGTCTCGAGGTCGATGCTGTTGGATGATGACTTATTAGTTAGCGTTGATGTGGATGTTGTTTTTATTATTTTTTCGGAAATTATTGAATTGTCAAATCTTGGAACCATACCGAATGGCACCAACAACATTTCACGATATAACTACTACAAGTTATGTCGGGAGAGGGGGTTCCGTCCAATCAGAACATAAAGAAATAAATGCTCGACGTCCAGCCTGGAATACACTCCAGCATCATCTTTTCCGATTGGATAGAACACCCTCTCCCCGCATACCTTATTACTGTTTCTTTATAATTAGAGGGACGTAACTTTGGAAAACTGATAACGAGATTCGAAAAATGTAATTATTCAACATGTTTTGGTTTAAACCGCGTTGAAGTTTACCCAGTCGTTTTCGACATAACCGTATCTTACTAAACCGCGATTTTCCCATTACCGGAAACTGATCCCTTTAATAACTAATTTCATTGGACTCTGTCTTTTATCTGGAACTATACACTTTCCTCGGTTGTCAAAGTAATTTAGTACAAATTCCCTTTACTTTCACCCGGCTTCTGGAAAATGTATGTCCAGGAATAGGTTTTGCGATATCCTGAAATTTTTGCTATTTGTAAATCATCGCGATGTTGATACGAACAACTGTTTATTAGAAAAAATTATTCAATACATTCAGCAATTGGTTTCTCCGATGAAATAACTTTCTATAGACGAATCTAATTCACTGGCGAGAACGCCTAAAATTTAGGCAGTGTATTATGAACAAGAGACATAAGTACGGCATAAAGCTGTATGAGATACTTGTCTACACAGGAAAAGGCACTATACTATAATAGACAATGATCAAGAGCATTCCGGTGCGTTTTCAGTCGTAACGGAGCTACTAAAACACTGTTTGGATAAAGGGAATAAAATATACCTTGATAATTCTTACACTAGTGTACATCTAGTAAAATATTTGTTCAAAAGGAAGACGAAACTTGTAGGAACTTTGCGAAAATTTAGAAAGGGAAATCCAAAACAATTATTTCAAAAAAAAATAAAAAAAGAGAAGGTGTATGGAAAAGAAAAGGTCCAGTGTTGGTTACACTGCAAGGACAAGAGATAGGTGGATCATAGCCACAAACATGCATCAACAATGCATAAACACCGAATGGTTGAAGCAACAAATAGAAATGGAAAACAAGTAATGAAACCAGAGTGTGTTCTCGCCTACAATAAGTACAGGGTGTCCCAATTTCGATGTCCGCATAGGCTATCTCCGAAACTAAAAGAGATAGAAAAAAAGTAGCTTACATGTCATGATNTATATATAATCAAAGATTAGAACAAATTATTCAATACATTCAGCAGTTGGTTTCTCCAATGAAACAACTTTCTATAGACGAATCTAATTCACTGGCGAGAACGCCTAAAATTTAGACAGTATATTATGAACAAGAGGCATAAGTACGGAATAAAGCTGTATGAGGTTACCACATTTGATGGTTTTGTTTTGTGCTATACTGGAAAAGGCACTATAATAGACAATGATCAAGAGCATTCCCACGCGATTTCAATTGTAACGGAGCTACTAAAAGACTATGTGGATAAAGGACACGAAATATACCATGATAATTCTTATACTGATGTACATCTAGCGAAATATTTGTTCAAAAGACGAAACTTGTAGGAACTTTGCGAAAATTTGGAAAGGGAAATCCAAAACAATTATTTCAAGAAAAAATTAAGAAAGGAGAAGCTGTATGGATAAGAAAAGGTCCAGTGTTGGTTACACACTGCAAGGAGAAGAGATTGGTGGATCATAGCCACAAACATGCATCAACAATGCATAAACACCGAATGGTTGGAGCAACAAATAGAAATGAAAAACAAGTAATAAAACCAGAGTGTGTTCTCGCCTACAATAAGTACGATGTGTTAATTAATTATCGTATCCGACGTCATCATTGCAAGTATGCAACCAATATCACAGTACTGGTATTGCAATACGCAAATCGCGTATTATAAAATAAATACTGTGATATTGGTTGCATAGTTCCAATGATGGCGTCGGGTATGATAATTAATTAACACACTGTACATGTCCGGGATAGACAGATCAGACCAGATGATGGGATACTACTCATCGCAAAGGAAAACCATAAGATGGTACAGAAAAGTATTCTTTCATCTTATACAGTGTGTCCCAGGATAGATGTTACAAGAGGTATATTGAATTAAACATTTTTGAAATTTATTTTAAGGCTAAGGAATTAAGCCCTGCTTGGTGTGAAGAGAATTTTAAGAATATTTTCATAGTTTGAAAATCAACTCGGTCTTGATAGTGAAGCGAAAACTGTTTTGAGTTCACGTAAAATAAGCTTTTTGTTCATGATACGGCAAAATATCATTAAGAAAAGTTGTTCAGAATGAGAAATTATGGCACTATGCAAAAAAACAATGAAAAATGCCATGAAAAAAAATCACTTAAGTAGTCGCAAATATTGACAAATAAATTAGACACACAATAGATATTGAAATGTGGAATGCCTATTACATATTTAAGAAGGAAAGAGGTACAACCAAAATTGACCTCTTGAGGTTCAGAGAAGAAGATATAAAGGATATGCTATATTCTAGTAGTGGAACGGATATCCGGCAACTATCCGGTATCCGGCCTATCCGGCCATTTTTTAAAATCCTACCGGATAGTTACCAAATATATGGCTTTGGCCGGATATTAAAAACCTATTACTTAGTACTCCAGTATACACAGGAATTAGTATCTCTTTTAGGTGTTGGATACTGCAGATAATAATCAAGTTCAACCGGACTTGATAGGATAGGACTTTTTTCATACAACTTTATTTATATCAGGTTTGTCATTAGCAACCTCATCATAAAAAACGCAATACGATATATAAAATAGCTTGTTGCATTATAGTTTTCTTCTCTTCGCTTATAATTCATTATCACATTCATTACTAACAGAACTATCGTTGTTATCACTTTCGATTATTAATTAAAGTATCCTCTTTTTAATGCAACAAGCTGTTTTGAAAAATCGCTTTTAGTTCTTGAGAAATAGATTTTTGAAATGATCGATAATTTTTTCAAATTTTACAATTTTCGCCGATTAAGTTTTAAAAATTCGTATAAAATCCATTTCTTGGATTATGAGTATGAAAATATCCCAAAGTGTTAATAAAAGTGTCCTCTTTCCAATGAACCAACCCGTCTTGAAAAATAACTTTTAGTTTTTGAGAAAACAATATTTGAAGTTTTGATAAAATTTTCGATGTTGTAATTTTCATCGATAATATTCAAAATTCGCTATAAAATTTATTTTTTGAATGATCCTTGTGCAAATATCACCAATTATTAAGTAAAGTATCCTCTTTTTAATGGAAAAAGCCGTTTTGAAAAATCACTTTTAGTTCTTGAGAAATAAATTTTTGAAATAATCGACAATTTTTTCGAATTTTGCAATTTTCGCCGATTAAGTTTTAAAAATTCGTATAAAATCCATTTCTTGGAATATGAGTATGAAAATTTCCCAAAGTGTTAATAAAAGTGTCCTCTTTCCAATGAACCAACCCGTTTTGAAAAATAACTTTTAGTTTTTGAGAAAACAATATTTGAAGTTTTGATAAAATTTTCGATGTTGCAATTTTCATCGATAATTTTCAAAATTCGCTATAAAATTAATTTCTTGAAGGATCCTTGTGGAAATATCACCAATTATTAATTAAAGTATCCTCTTTTCAGAGTTGCTTCGTGAGTTAAATCAGCATGAAAAAAGTTCATTTTGTATCTTGGATCCAAATAAGTTGACATATCTTATCAGCTTTCTTATTAATTTCATTTTTATTCAAATATCGCAATAATGTGGCAATATAGGGTATCACTTCAAAAATGTACCAGAAACTATATCCGGTATGTGGCTATTCGCAAAATCACTATCCGTTCCATCAGTAGTAGAAATGTTTAGTCATTACAATAAACTTTACTGCAATTTTTTTCATAGAGCGGTTGCGAAGATATGGATCTGTAAACCGAAGGGTCTTGACTTTTGACACAGATAGTAGCCAGGACCAATAATAGAAACATTTTAGGATGCCGTGCATTTATGCGACAAGAAAAATTTGCAGAAAGATTAATAATATGCAAAACAATATGCAAACAAGGAAAATAAGCAAGGGACAACAGATACAGTAACTAGTAAATCTGTTGGTTTCAACTGTCTTCATTTTGTTACAGGTGTGACGGAACGAATAGCCAGGCGACTAAAATAGTGTAAAAGCGGTTGGAGTCTCAGTCATCACTATGTGGAGCAAACAAGCGGAATTTCAAATGTCAGATAAACGGATGCGAGAGAATAATATCAGATTGGGAAACGTTATCTATTAGTTGAAATACAAAAAAATCTCATTTCGAAGAAAAACCAAAATTAACATTAAGATTCTAATCAAATCCAATTAGAACAGAATTTAATTTACTCTTTTGGACGTTTTCTAATTAGAGATTTTCTGATATGTAAATTGAAAACTAAAACACACCATAATTTAAATAATTGAATGGGTTCTTTTTGATTTTTTTTCTTCGTCCCATTGACATTGTAACCTTATTTGAATAACTAATTCCATTATTTCGAATTTGTCGTATCTTCCGATGTTGCAACTATGTAACAATATTGGATATTAAGTAAGCAAACCCACGAGTAACATATCTACAACAAAACATCGATTCGTACACTCACATATACAATAATAATTTCCTGTACGGCAATTCGCATTCCCGATCTCTCCGATTGTTACGATTATCGTTGGTTATAAATATATTCTTGTCCAGTAGACGTGCTAACATTACTATGTTAATGCTGACTATAAATAAAAGCGAACAGCGTCTTTATGCCGGATGTCTCGCACCATAAAGACTATACAAACTACAGTTCCTACTTTACTTTATTACGAAATGTCAAAAAAAACAAATAAAATTTCTTTATTTTAGAGATGGATTAAGACATTTTTATTTTTAAAATGAAGACTTACCGTTCAAGCCTGTCACCTAAAGTTTGACTTTTATCGCTGCTAAGAGGGCTGTAAAGATCTTCCGTTTCTAAAGTTTTGCTGTAACCTTTCTTGAACATACCGATGGTGTATCTGAAAATCAAAAAAAATAATTAAGAAAGAAAGTTAGTGAAGGAAGTGTAGGTGGCACGATTGATTTGCATTTAAATGGGTTTAAGTCGGTTTTCGATTTACATATCGTTTACATCGTAATCGTCTCCGCGTCGATAATGAGGGGTAATTTGTCCCAGAGGAACCTCCGGGTTCAACTCCGGGATCTTGAAATTCTTCTTCTTCTTATGCCAGTTTCTTATCTCGTCTCAAATCAACAGTTATTTATTTCCACGTTGAAAGTTTTAATAAGATCTATCTACTAAATTATAGTAAGGAAAGAAAATTAACATAAAAAAATTGAATTTCTCTATTAATTTATTAAAGCGATGATTTTATTTCTCTCATTTCAAAATTAAATTATGGAGGGAAAACTTTTTTCACGTGCTTTTACACGTGCGGCTTTAGCAGTATCGTGTTCGTAACCGTTTGTTGTTCAGTTTCGAATTCAAAGAAGAAATATTTGGCTCGTGACCAACACATGTAGGAACGTAACGTGTGACAGTTATGCGATAATTGCGGACAGATTTCGACCGGATAAGTCACACCTTCTTCTTTTTCTTTTGTGTATCAAGCGACCTCTGTCGTCGTCAGCGGAAACTTGATCTATTGTATCTGTGTCCCCGTTTTTCTTTTAAAGTCCTCCAACTCGCGCCATCTGGTCAACTATAACTTCTCGGTATCGAAAGAGATAAAAGACGAAGGCGTGTTCGTTATTTCCTAACTAAGGGATTTTTTTTAATTTATGAAGTGAACCCAAGTGTCAAGTGTTAATTTATTGATTTCTAAAATAAGCAGTTTATAGAAGTTAGAAATTATTGGATTTAGTAATACTTCACTTATAAATCATATCATAGCATAAAAAAATCTTTCTAAAAATACAAAGAAATTAATCGACGAATTAAATCAACAAATTCAATTTCAAGTGTTAGTACCGAATGAAATGGAAATCTAATTAAACAAGAAGCCTTCGAGGGCTTCTGGTTCTGGAACTGTTCAAACAAAGTTGATTGGGTGGTGAACGAAAATGAAAACAGTGAGCTTTACTGAAAGAGGAAGTTAAAATAAGAAGTCGACGTCGCAAGAGTCGTTCGGTTCCACTTAAAACCCAATCATAACAACGCATGGGCAACGGATAAAACATCGCGTTGTGTTTATAGACGTTTCGTTCATCGATATCCGAGTTATTAAAATTTTCCAGAGCTGCAAAGGAAAGCTCGCAAATCTCATAAATTTACAATATACAGATCGTCGAAAATAATTTGACCTTCGGCGCGTAGAGGGGTTTGCCACGCTTGTTCGCAGTTCTCTTTCGAGGAAAAACACTTTTGAACCGGTTGTAAACAAACACACTTCTAAATATAATTTTTAATACTACAAAAGATTGATTTTTTTCAATTGTTATGTCCTTTAAAACATGTCCAAACATGTTATTTTTGAAACTATTGGAGTCAAGATGCAATTTGATCGTCCAATTGTATCACCCAAGCAATAAATCAGATGGAATGGTTTGGCAGAAAATTGGGCGAATCATGCGAAGAGACCTCCCAGAGAAAGTCGCCGTGGGTGCCAAGAACGCCAAATGGTTCGAATGAATAAAATATCGAAAGAGCACGTAAAGCACATTCCACTCCATTATAATAAGAATTATGTATGTATATTGTATAGGTCAGTGGTGTCCACTAATTTTTGATCAAGATCGACTTTTTATATAAATATCTTGTCAAAATCGACCGAAGGGTTTAAAGTAACCTTCCTTTTTTCAGATTCATGATTTTCTTGGCGATCGACGTTATGGCCACCACTGATTTAGAGTTTATAAATAAAAAATAGTAATAATTGGGTTCAATCTTGGTATGGATCTAGTCTTTATGGTCCATTATTAAGGATTTATATATAAAAAATAATTCTCCATTGCATTTAGTTTTTGAGTTATGATTGAGCTAATTTTCCAAAATCAACAATTTGGATGTTTAATCGATTTAGAGCTTATAAATAAAAAATAGTAATAATTGGGTTCAATCTTGGTATGGATTTAGTCTTTATGGCCCATTACTAAGGTTTTATGTATAAAAAGTTTTTCTCCATCGCTTTTAGTTTTTGAGTTAAAATTGAGTTAATTTTCGAAAATCAACAATTTTGATGTTTAATCGATTTAGAGCTTATAAATAAAAAATGGTAATAATTGGGTTCAATCTTGTTATGGATTTAGTCTTTATGGCCCATTACTAAGGTTTTATGTATAAAAAGTATTTCCCCATCGCTTTTAGTTTTTGAGTTATGATTGAGTTAATTTTCGAAAATCAACAATTTTGATGTTTAATCGATTTAGAGCTTATAAATAAAAAATGGTAATAATTGGGTTCAATCTTGTTATGGATCTAGTCTTTATGGCCCATTACTAAGGTTTTATGTATAAAAAGTATTTCCCCATCGCTTTTAGTTTTTGAGTTATGATTGAGTTAATTTTCGAAAATCAACAATTTTGATGTTTAATCGATTTAGAGCTTATAAATAAAAAATGGTAATAATTGGGTTCAATCTTGTTATGGATCTAGTCTTTATGGCCCATTACTAAGGTTTTATGTATAAAAAGTTTTTCTCCATCGCTTTTAGTTTTTGAGTTATGATTGAGTTAATTTTCGAAAATCAACAATTTTGATGTTTAATCGATTTAGAGCTTATAAATAAAAAATGGTAATAATTGGGTTCAATCTTGTTATGGATCTAGTCTTTATGGCCCATTACTAAGGTTTTATGTATAAAAAGTTTTTCTCCATCGCTTTTAGTTTTTGAGTTATGATTGAGTTAATTTTCGAAAATCAACAATTTTGATGTTTAATCGATTTAGAGCTTATAAATAAAAAATGGTAATAATTGGGTTCAATCTTGTTATGGATCTAGTCTTTATGGCCCATTACTAAGGTTTTATGTATAAAAAGTTTTTCTCCATCGCTTTTAGTTTTTGAGTTATGATTGAGTTAATTTTCGAAAATCAACAATTTTGATGTTTAATCGATTTAGAGCTTATAAATAAAAAATGGTAATAATTGGGTTCAATCTTGTTATGGATCTAGTCTTTATGGCCCATTACTAAGGTTTTAGATATAAAAAGTTTTTCTCCATCGCTTTTAGTTTTTGAGTTATGATTGAGTTAATTTTCGAAAATCAACAATTTTGATGTTTAATCGATTTAGAGCAGTGGTGTCCACTAATTTTTGATCAAAATCGACTTTTTATGTAAATGTCTTGCCAAGATGTAACCTTCCTTTTTTTTTGCTCTGAGGCCCAGATATAGATATTTCAGATTCATGATTTTCTTGGCGATCGACATTATGGACACCACTGGTATAGGTGGTGTAAGACTAAATTGTAAATAAATATCCACCAAAAGCATGGCCTGTCACTACCTTTCGTTATCATCAAAACTGGTGTGATCAAAAAATAACGAGAAAAACGGGCCACAGAAATAAGTAAGCTTCTTACAGGTATCTCAAATAATGTCATTAATATCGCAAGGCAGATCACCGCTGACAAAACGAACTACAACTATTCTGTTTAGTTCTCAACCGACGAATAACAACGAGAAATTATAGGACCACAAGACAAAATGACCTTAATTATGAAGATAACAAACTGTCATAATCCCTGGCTGGATTATACCTTCATCCCTGGCGATATGTTGCGAACCAAATACGAACCAACGAACCAAATACAGTAGCAGATCTAAATTGCAGTTGCGTTTAACTGGTATTAACGAATTGTGTTGGTATTACGCCCGATCTGAGGACTAGTGCTAATAAGCTGTGTGATACTGCTAACAACATCATATACACACCTTCTCATTGTATCTGCGTGATCGATCGCATAACTTAAGGTGAAAATCAGTGCAAAGAGTATGAAACCATAGTGTACAAGTTCACAATTAGTGTCTTCTTAATTCTGATGTTGCCGAATCACGAGATCAAAGGAAGTTCCACAAGGTATTCATCCAAAATACAGGGTAAAGGGACCATCGGTTAAGGAAAGATTTCGACGTGTTAGCCCACAACGATGCGGGGCCGTCAAGAAATAGTCTGATTCCCGGAGATAGCCAAAAGTAGTTGAGAATTTCCGTATAGAGAAACAAAGCGATAGAAATTGACAGCCACTTTTCTCAAAAAAGCTGAGAAACGCAGAAACGACAGTTTTCGACGCTTGGTGAAAGGTCGACGCTTCATCATATCAACCAACCACAAACCAGTTACGTTCGCAGTACGACAGAATCCCAGAAATTTTGGAGAGATATCGACGCTACCAAACCAAAACGGCATAAACGATATTCACTTGATTTTTCAAGAAACGCACAGAGAACTATCATCACGTCGTATTGAAATAAGCATAATAAAAAATCATCACCACCAATAGACTTCAAGGCAGTGGCTCAATCAGAAGATGAATGAAATCGATTTCTCGAATAAGCGATTGTCGAATATATACTATAACATCTCCAACCCAACCCTATTTAAACGAACTGGCTATCGATAAAGTGAATTTGTAGGAAATAAGCAATTGCCCAAAGTATTAAATAGAATTATACGACTCATACAACATTGATAGTGATTTGATTCTTCCAAGTGGAAGGTTCGAGCACATTCACATTGATCTAGTTACCTAACAGTCGTGGTAGAAAACAGAGAAGCATCCACAACTGCAAATTGCAATTGTCCTCATAGGCTCAATTCCTGATCCGTAACGTTGTTGTAATAAAGTTTAAATATTAAACTTAAATATAGCTTTTCAATGAACTTAAGTACACACTTAAAGACAAGAAACAATCACTAGAAAGACGAGTTAAACATAAGTTGTGATTTTTGTGAAAAATGGTATCAAAAAAAATTTACTAGTTTCCATGATTTATCTTATGATATCATTGTAACCAAAGAATACAAATGTAACTTATGTTAAGCTATAAGTCGAAGGGTTTTTGTTCAAAACCAGCG